GTGCTGCATGACTGCAAGATGGAGGCACAAGAGCGTGAGCACATTATCATTACGAGAGGACAACTCGCCATGGGCAACGCTCACAAAAGACCAGACAAAAGCAGTGTCCCACAACCACACTGCATAGCACACACAGTTTTTCTCTAACTTCGCTCGGACAAACCAACACTTAAATACGTGCTGCGGATGGATGATGAGTGTCTGTTGCAGTTTCTGTGTGTGGAGAGACATCTTAATGTCAGACCATGAATCCCCCTGTTAGTGCTGAGACAGTATATCATAACCATGTGGTTAAATCACCACTGTGCACAGCTAATACACTCAATAATAATTTCTCTTACTACGTGGGCCTTTTCACTCAGGTGCACCTATTACATCACCACTTCATATGATATGGGTGACAAGCAGTGTGAGGACTTTGGACTGACTGAATTGCAACACAGCCCTGACACTCCTGACTGCATTACCTACAGTGTTACCCACTGAAATAAATACAATACGTAATTTTATATAATGATGTGTAATTATATATAATTAATTGCAATTACTTTCATTTACTGTCAGGCTAGTGTGTCTAGATGAGCAGAGGCAAAGTTCGGTTGGACACAACATACACAACACAACACTGCTGAAGGACTCCTCTTAGGTTTCCTACATCTGAAAAGCTTGGGGCTGTTTTCTGCTGCTACAGGTTTTGAAGCCTGATGGGCGAGTTAGTTTACCTTGCCTATAGATCAGTTGTATACTGTGCTGTGTATAGTCTCTGCTGAATCGGTATCTGGGTTTAAGCACACAAATGTTATGCTGAAATCATTTGTTAACTTCTCCTTTCTGCCCTGTGAGTCATTTTGCAGGATACCAAGCCAATACGCATTGGATGACAGGCAGGTCTACCACCAGTCTGTCACAAGGATAACACAGGTGCACTGCCTTTAGAGTCACAAATCTGCCTCTTTTGCATATCCTTAAACTGTTGAAAGAAGCCAGAGCAACAGAAGAAAACATATGAGAGAAGTCCATTCGAAAATGACATGGGTTGAGAGCCAAACTCAAGTTCTTCTCGCTGTACACAAGTGCACAAAGAGAACAGCCAAGCTAAACAGAGCTGTCATCTGTAAATCGATGCCGGTACTCAGCAGGAAATGTTTGTGATTTAAATAAATAATAGGGTGGGGTTATAGTGTGTTTTTCCTGTATGTGAAAACAATCTAATGATTTACATTCTGACTTTCTGTTGAATTATCTGGTTTAGAAGCCTGAGATTAAAGACACGAAATTGTCACTACAGCACTGAATAAGAAGCTAATGTTAACATTTTATCTGTGCAAACCATCCCTACTGATTATGAAATGTAGGTCACTGTTCAAATCCAAATAAAAAGTGCACAAAAAATTATTTGTAAGTTAAACAGAAGTCCCCACATACCACGTGCAAAAACCTTTATAAGTCCAACAGGTAATAGTTTTTGTTTCGACTTTTGTTATTGGAACTTCTACCAGGTCAGACATAGGATTTAGAGGTTAAGTTTGCAGTATTATTAATGATCATTTTAACATTCTTGTACGACAACAGGTGAATTTAATTTCTTTTTAATTGCTGTGCCAGCTCCACATTGCCCCAAGGATTCTTTGCTTTACCTCTGCACCTCCTTGCATGATGAATTAAACCTTTAGGAGCCAGGTCAGTAACTAAATCGTTATTAATTAGAGGTAACAAAGGTAACAAAAGTAAACAAAGGTGGCCCTGCTTCAGCCAGGGGTGAGAGACACTGCAAGCAAAGCCTTAGAACCATTACACGCTATCTGATATATGAGCTGTTGAAATCTGATCATCTAAACACCAGCGTTTACCTTTATCTCCATCACCTGTTATCAGTGAAAGGTGGACACTGACCTTTAACCCTTGCTTGAGGAAAGTTCTTCTTAACAACAAGTAACCACAACACTGTCAGATACAGTGGGCCAATGACTCATGAGCAAGGAGGAGTCCGCATTGCTTGGCGCATGATTGACCTAAGACGCAATTCTTATTAAAAAAAAAACACAATAAGCACTGAGGCGATACAATAATAACACATCACTGATGTTGAAGATTGGCATTGTTCAGAGGCTAACATGGTATTTGAAGAACTTTAATTTCAGGTGTGTGACACTGGGCTTGGAGACTGTTGGTGGCACAAAAAGCCAAACTGTCGATACACTAAATATATTCTGTCATATTAGTTTGTTACATGTAAATTGTATTTAGACAAATGAAAATAAAGTGACAACCTAGGACGGCAGTACAAACTCAGCAGCTGGACAAGATTAGCATCGACATCTCGACAGACAGAGAGTCCTTTGAGAGCAGGACAGACTACTATAAGCGCACGTGCGTTAATATAAAAATCACCGCCTCAATCTAAACACAAACAGACTCGCTCGACTTGTCAAAATACAAACATTTGGTATTTCTAAAACAGGCCTAGCTCGAGTTATTTACATCTATTTCCACGTCCTTGCTGTGAGTTTGGTCTTACCTGTCCGAACTTCCGTTGAGTCACTCTTTTTGTGAAACCTTGAGACACCTGACACTCTCTGCCGCCTCTGCGTCACCGCCCGGTGTGGACAGACAGAGGTGGAGTGTACAGAAAGGTGTCATGGGAGTGGAAGAGCTGGGTCACGTGATGTTTATGCACCAATGACCTTAGGTATTGCATTACCCCTACCTGGTGTGTGGGTGTGTGTGTGTGTGTGTGTGTGAGCGCACGCGAAGGCGCGTGGTGTTCCTGCATACCACCCACCCAAATTCCTGAGAACAAGCAAACCTACTCTTTCATTTCTCATGCGAAGAGAAAACACGAGAAGGGAGACAAGAGAGAGCGAGAAGGCATACTGAACAACTCAGGGTTCTTCAACAGAGCAGAACTGGATCTGCAGGGACTATGCTAAATTTCATAACATAATAATACCAATAATAATAGTAGTAAAGGCAACAATACTACTAATAACATTAAACATTATATAGCACCTTTTGTTAACAAAATGGAGCTCAATGTGCTTTACACAAACATGAGAAGAAAGAAATGAGCAGACATACAATTAATACATTTAAAAGAGAGCGAGCTCTGATTCAGACATGTTTATGCTCTTAAAGCAAAGGTGACAATGTAGGAACAAGTGTCATACAGCTTCACCACAGGTTTCATTTTAGCTAAGTGCCTGCACACCAACAGAAAAATTTCAAACACTAGTGCGTTTGTGAGGTCTTGCATTATTTACTGTATATGGGATCTGAAATAGGCCGTGCATGGTGCATTGGATGTTTGCATTACATTTGCCTTCTAAATACTGTAAAGCCAACTGGGTGGTGTGGTGAGAATTGGAAGATTGTGGCTTTAATGTGGAGAACTCTGTTGTGACCAAGAGTGAAAGTAAAAGTGTGGTTTAAGAACTAGTTTTTCATGTTCAAGGTTTTACTGTTACTGACCAGCCAACCAAAGGAAAACACATTGGTCCAGTTTTCTATGTCAGCTAATGAAGCTATACCTTTAAGTTGCATACCTCAGCATAGAGAAAAAGACAATTTTGTAATCCAGTAACCTAATGTAACACTGATGTCATTATTTTCAAGCTGATAATGACAGAATCCAGATGACTAACAATTTTGATTTTAGTGGCATTTAATACTTACAAATAAACTTATCAGCTGATATATTGTTTTTGATTGCCTTCCGTTGAAGTAAAATAGGCTACAGTATACGCTATATGACCTAAAAATTAAAATAAAATAAAATTTTGTTTTCTCCTCTTGCTCCTAAGAATGATGAAATGCAAAGAACACAAAGTTGTTAACAGTATTTGAAAAGACCTGAACTCTTGTTTTTGTCAGTCCCTGAGCAAGTGCTTTGATTATTTAAAATGAATAAAGTCTCATGAAAGATTTATTCGAGGATGTATTGTCATACAATACAGGATGGCACACTGAAATGTAGTTGTAGTCCACTCCACTCTGCAAACAGAAAATGGTTGAACATATATTCAAAATGTTTAAATTATAATAAATTATGATATGTAATCAATAATAAATTAGGCATTAAAATAGAACAAACTATATAAAGAAGTCGAAAGTATCATTGTGTCTCTTACAAAGACCCTATTGAATGTATATTCTGCAGGAACTAGGACAGGAGGTGTTTGTGGACATGCCCACATTTTAATGTTACCTAACCCATACAAATATACAGTCAATAAGGAACCTATTACAATGTTAGAGCTCCAGTTGTTTCCATAGGAGTATAGAGACCCAACCAAGGACATTGTTTAAACCTTTGAACCCTGAGTAAATTGGTGTGATTTCTTTCAAAAACATAGGCAAAAAAGGCAATGAGCAACTTGGTAGAAAATGCCCCACAAATAACAAAAAAAAGTATAGATTTAGAAAATTATTTTAAAAAAAAGTAAAAAATGAAAAAAGCTAGGGGAAAATATATGTATAATTATTATTACCACATATTTAAAAAATATGGTACGGAATTATTATAATTTAAACCACTTTTTCCCAGGTCATTTGTTTTTTTGTTTTTGTTTTTAGTTTTCTCTTTTCTCTACTTTCATGCAAATTTTGGGGGTCATTTCTTCTATTGCTGCTCATTGCCTTCCTCCCATTTTTTTGACAGAAATCCAGCCAATTTGCTCAGGTTTCAAAGGGTTAAACAAACAGCAGTCCATTCACACAAATAAAGATTTCCCAAAATATTTTAAATATGTCCAGGGCCAACAATGGAAAAAAACAAAAACCCAACGCTTAATAGGCTACTTGATTAATGAACCAATTAAGGAAGATGCTGTGTATTTTTGGCTTTAGGTGAGTGTAAAACCAAAGCAAAACACACAAGAACAGAAAATTGCATAGGTAGAATAAACTAAACTAAATCACATAAATACTGAAACAATTGATGGTGACGTCACCGCCCGTTAAACGGGAGCCTGGGAGGAGCAATCTCATAATAATAATTAGTCTTTAAGATTAAAAGATTGCGCGATAATGTCAGTCATATTTTAATAGTAATTATTATTAAATGGTCACTTCAGACAAACGGGGCGAAGGGGCAGAGGACTGAGCGTCTCAAACTATCACAATGTGTGTGGACGTCCCTGTTTTGTGCCGTTTTAGTGTCCACTCCTTCCTTTTCATCTGCGTCTTTTCAGTCGACGTCTGAATCAGCTACAAACGGACACAGGCCAGCTACACCACCACAACACACATACGCGTACATTTCTTTACAGCAGTGTAAAAATGGACTAACAGACATATTTAGTCCGCACTTTGAACGCTCTCTGCTAACGGGGAGCTGGTAGAAGAAGATGACCCTTTTCTCTTCGCTTGAGGAGGCTTTGCTGCTGTGTGGGGGAGTGGGTTACATCCTGTGGCGTTTCCTGTGTTTGTAAACTAGACGGTCTTGGAAACGTCGGGCGAGTGAAGCTCAAAAGGTAGATAAATATCTCTTCGTTTTTCTTCGATGCTCGGTGAATTTTGACTGTGCATTCAACTGTCTGCTTTTTCATGTGTAAGCATTCATGCTCGGAGATGGCAGCAAAGGGATTTAGCTATATTTACAGCGTCAATGATGGCCATGGCTAGCTCGCTAACAAACGTTAGCTTAATCATCGGGAGGGGGAGGCACTCGCAACGACGGCCATCACGAATGTCTTTATCTCTCTATCTCGAACCAGTTGAGCTTGTGTATTACAGTATTATCACGGTGACGAGATTTATTGGTCCAATCTGCAAGATAGATACTCTCGTAAAGCTACCGTATTAACCCGGTGATCAGGTGGGCTGAGAAAATGTTCGATTACTGATATTTCAGTGGGCGAGGGCGCCAGCGAGCAGCTAGCTGCTGGCTAGCTGATGTTAGCCAGCTTGTTCAACATCAGCAAAACTAACGCTAGGTTTGGGTGGTGGTGCGAAGGCCAGCTCAGTCAGTGCTGTTTATTTCAAAAGCATTATTATGTTAAGACACTTCTTCTACTGGCCACCAACACAACAATACTCAATGAAATGCAGCTATACAAAGTGGCCTTGTAAGCCTTTTAATTAGCGTTAGCCACCGTTAGCGCTAGGCTAGCTGTCCATAGCGAAAGCACTGTAGCGTTAAACTGTGTGTTTGCCTCCGTCTGGCTATCATTAAACTACATAATGGTACACACGCCTAACAGTTAACTTGTGTCACAGTTGGAGAAAAGAACAAACGGAGCTAAAACGCAAGCTAATGTTACAGCATGAAAAGCCAACACAAGATACAGCAGTGTTTCTTTGAGAAAATAATGGCCTCCTCTTCACATACTTGCTAAGACCTAATGGCAAAATGTATGTTATACTGTATCAAGTTAGCACGGGTGCAGACCCACAGCTTTGCTTTATATATAAATATATCTCATAAGTTATATTTTACATTAAGATTTACAGAATTACAACCACTGTCACTCATAGATATTTCAAGTAACGTTAGGTTTACACTCCCAAAATGTGTCCCATTTAGCTAATCAGAATTAACTTAAAGAGATTGAACGTTTTCTCAAAGATTGTTGTACTGAACAAAGTTACAGCTGAAATATATTCTTTTCTTTGACTTTAATGAAAATAACAGAAACAGTCTCAGAGCAGTTTCTAAATTACAACTGCTCCCTCCCATTATTTACTTTTTTACAATTAGTTCACTATTTTTTGCCATGTTATGTATACTTCCAAAGGTGGTTTTTGGAGTTATAACTTAAATGTTACAACCATAACCCCATACACCTTCAATACAGAACACTAAAAATCGATAGACACGTTTAAATCACATAATTTTAAAAATCACTGGTGTGATTGGTTGTGTGTTATAGTGAGGCAGAGATTGGGAGCTCTTTTTAAACACTAACATGTCTAGTAGTAAAAGCATTACAATATCAGTCTTTGACCATTTGAGTTTTTGTTGTGATTGGCACTGGTCAAACAGTTCTTTTTTTGTGCGTTTGAATTTTGTTCTGTATTTTAAGAAGGTTTCGATTACAAATAGTTAGCCTAACATATACGTTTTAGAACTTTTAAGTGCATAGGTTTAATATCTTGACATGCTAGAAGATGTTAGATGTAAGAGTATTAGTCGTCTCATTTGTCAGTTAAAGAAAATGACGTTATTCTGTAGTTTGCCTGGCTGTCGATGTTATTTTCCCAGATTCGTCCCTTTCCCTAAATTTCTCTGCAGATCCCTCTTCATGTTTCAATTTGTTTCCCTCATGTCATACAAACAAGTGCAATTAACCTGCTACACTGTTTCATTTAGACCCAGAACATCCAGCTGTGCTTTGTGGTCGGATTGTAGGCAAGCAGTTTAGTGTTGTGGGGAGGCAGGGGAGATTATTGCCTTTTAATGATTATTCTTTGGCATCTATAATTGGTTCTGAATCTGAACTGGTTCCAGAGTTAAAACTAGAAATGTGCTTTTTGGTGTCACTTATTGATTTACTGGAAGCAAATTTTGATTGTGCTTCCATCTGCTATAGTGGTCATGTATTCAGCATTTTAAGTGTGTATTCTTTACAGTAGACCCACAGTAGGGATACAGCAAATATTTTCATTGTTCAAAAGTAATTACATACAGGTCTGAGGTTTGTCTTAGATGAGGAAGTGTTCAGTGTAGCACAGTGTTGTTCCCAGTAGAAGTCATATTTTAAGAACATTAGGTGAAAATCACAGTTCAGGTTGACGTTGAACTACCCTAAATTTCAATGTGTCAGCTAGACAGGTGATTTTTCATACATAACAAGATAATTTTATTAGTGTTTATTGGGAAAAAAGTCCTTTGGGTTTTGTGTTTTTTATTAATACTACTACTAATAATAATAATGAATTCTTGTTTTCCCCCAGTAGAAAAATAGATAGGATGTTCAGCTGTTGTCCCAGCCACAACTTGGTTATGGTCAAATTATTTTATCATTCAGAAGCAAATAATTGGAAGTCCCTCAGGTGCTTGCTTACCATGGTCAACTAGGGTAGTTACGAGGTAAATATGCAGTACGTTTAATCACGTATTGGCCGCAGCCAGTAAACGTTTATGGTTAGTTTTTTGTAATGGCGAGTATGATGACTTATTACTCTGAACAAAAACCAAGCTAAATCTACTAATATGGTTGTACAAATGACATATATTTATGTGTGTTATATTTGTAATGTTTAAATACCATTGGGGAAAATGGCCATCCTAACTGGAGTTAATGGATTATGTAACAATAAGACAGCGAGTGATGCTGTTGTCATTTAATGCTTGTCTGTTTCATCCACATCCTCCTCTTCCTCAGTTTTAATGCTAGATGAGTGAGGTGGGTGTGGCTTCCCACCAGCCCGACCATCCTGACTGACGGATCTCTGGATGACCTTGTCCCCACCCCTGTCCCTGCGCTCACATACACCACAGCAATGTCACATCTGCCCAGCAGCTCAGTCCGCGACCATATGAAATGGGTTTGTTTTGAGAACACCAAAGTGGTTACAAATAACTTTCCTTGCAGTCTTGTGTCACTCAGGATGTTGTCGTTGATGACTAGCTTGGCAAATGCCATGTGACTGGCTATATTGTCTTAGATGCAGATACTTTCAAATTGCAGACTGTTTTCAGATGTTTTATAGAATTGGTAAACTGTTACTCTTCCTTTTTTCTCTACGCAGGCGGGGCTGCTTGGCTGCGAGGCTGTCCTCTCCAGCATGGCCCTGATGCAGGCCAGCTCCATGGCTGCTCCGCCCAAAAAAATGATGGCTCCACTTGGCCATGGACCACCGCAGAGAGAGGGACCTGACCGTGCTCCCCAGAGCCATATGATCCTCCCGTCTGGAATGAGCTGTCCACCCCTGGTTAGCACCCACCTGGGAAATGTAGATTGGGAATAGGGCTGTTGAATGCAGTGCTTTTAATACTGTGAAGGGTGTAAACCTATTGCCCTCATGAAATTAAAAATTCGAGCGTGGGAGGACTTATCCCTAGAATGCAGTCATGATGATTTGTTCTACTTATTAGTGTGTTAACTTCAAACATCACTACCAGGTTACATAGGGGTAAATGTTGCCGTATTAGAGGCTCCACATATCCCATTGCCCTTTTTCCTCGCCAAAAAGGACAGTTCCTCCATCAGAAATTATTCAAATTGTTTTAAAATTGTGTGGTTTTACTAGAATCACAATGTACAATCCCACACTATTTAACACTGGCTTCTTCAGCTGGCGGTGGCAAAAATGTACATAATAGAGAGTCTATCATTTCATGTTGTCATGTTCAGATATTCTGTTTTTAGTTTTAAAGGTTACAGATCTGATATCAGGAAATAATTGACCTTTTCTGGCTCTGTAGCTTATCCGGAAGGAAGGTGATTTCCAAGCTCCCCGCCTGCTGGATGAGAAGGACATGAGGGCCAACGAGGACATGCAGCAGAAAAAAAAGAACAGGAAATCAGTAACGCCCTGCAAAGTGAGAGAACAAGAAGGAAGGGGAGGGAAGGTCAGTGGCTGTGGTGGCTAAATAGGGAAGGGTCTCTGCAGTGAATTTTTATTTTTCCTCACTTAATGAGATGCGTAGTTAGCCTCTTGCACACATTTTTGTAAAAAGCAATCAACTTTATTCAAGTGCGCCTCACTTGGAGCTTTCATGTGTGCACATTTTGTTTGTGTGGGGGTGGGGGGAGGAGTTCAGGGAAGATGTGGAGGGGGTGGAGGATCTCGAGAGAGAGGAAAGAGGGGGAGGGGAGCAGAGTGAAGCGGAGCACAATAACTGCAGTTGTGTGCATAACAGGGGGAGCAGTAACATGAGGGCATTAGGCCATTGGAAGGGATTGTGGGGTATTTGTTAATTCAGATGTTAATTATATGTAGTTGGGGGAAAAAAACAACTTCTGTGTCTTGCTCTTTCATGCAAGAGATAATTTGGGTTTTAGAAAAAAATAAGCGTTAATGAAAAATTAGGATTTTGTAGGCCTCAGATTTACTTAAATCTCACAGCAGTTTTAGATATTCAGCAGGTTCTGACCAGTCGTGGGTGGGAATGTTTGACAAATTGTACCATTGTGTTTGTGCTACAGTGCACTGTATCTCAGTTTGTATGTTGACCATTTGTTCTTGCTGTCCTCATTAGGGCACAGGTGGAGATGAGAATGGTCCCTCATCCAAAGTGCAGAAAAACTTTATTTGTGATCACTGTTATGGAGCATTTAGGAGCGGATACCACCTGAAGAGACATATCCTCATTCATACAGGTATGGGTCACGCTCGGAACAACTCCAGTTCACAGTTAAGCCAAAACAGCTTTTAATGCCTGATATCATGAATCATTTGTTGAAAGAGGCCCTGAAAGCTTGAGTTGGAATGAATCTAGGAGTGTGCAGCAACTGTAAGGTTTTGCAATGGCCTGCTTTAAAAAAACACAACAACCTTGTTTGGTAATAGTTTTTGCCTCACAGCTAATTGGTGGTATCTGTGGGGACTTTGACTAAAACTGGTGCTCTTCGGTTTAGGGGAGAAGCCGTATGCTTGTGCCGTATGTGACATGAGGTTTATTCAGCGTTACCACCTGGAGAGACACAGCCTCATTCACACGGGTATGCGTCCTTTAACCGTACCCATATTACATAAATCAGACTACATCTGTTGTCTGTCACTTGAATCAATGGACAGATGCTCAGGGTTCATTTTGTCTGTGGACAGTAACTTCCAACAAAGCCGCCCCTCAAAATCTGTTCTCCTTCAAGATATAAAGCACAGTATTTGTCTTACAAATATTGGTCCCCCAACACCAGGAAAAAATTACAGAAGGCAGTGTAATACAGTGCGGTCCAACAGTCCTGAGTCCACTATTAAAAAATGTTGTTTATGATAAAAAATTATGTTGTTTTTTTTGTTTGTTTGTTGTTTTTGTCCTTTTGGGATGGCCATTATTCACTATAATCATAGCTTATATTTTGACTGCCATCAGTTGTGTAAATGCGGGATTTGTGAACCCATTGTTTGAAAGCTATTTCAGAGGATTCCAGAGATGTCGGAGGCACGTTCCTCCTTTTTCACCTGAATGCTAAGTGGGGTCGGGCTCTGGTGTCTGTGGAAACTGTCATTGCAAATTTTAAACTTTGATTTGTATAGAAAAACAACTTTCCTCCTGTTTTCACCTGTGATACTTTGACATTGTTTGGATCGACTTGTTTTGTTGTTAAATTGTCCTAACGAGTCAAATGGGAGGTTCTTTGTTCATTTGAATTTGTGTTGTTCATGCAAATGCTGTTGGGTCCTTCAGAGACGCCAGCTTGATACACTGGTCTTTCACGTGGTGTGGTCACTTTAACAAGGAGCCACACCCAGGATAATATGTGTGTTCTGCCTTCTAGCAGTTGCTGCATGCTATGTAAACACCCTGTGCAGTACAACACTTCAGTGCACTATTGGGCAACGCTTGATTACAACCGGTTGTGGTTACAAGTACAGCAGACCACCTCTGACCACCCACACTGTTCCACCATCCGACAAGCACTTCTGTTGTGGCATACGGCCTGCTTTATTTGTGCCATTCTGCCATATCTTGGTTTGGATGATTTGTCTTAAGAAAATCTTTGCAGTGTTTAGTCCCATTCCGTTTAGAGGCAGACTGGTGCTGGGAAACTTTCCTTCTACCCAAGAGAACCACTTGGCTCCACAATATTGGTTTCAAAATAACATTCAAACCACGTTCACAGACAAGTTTAAAGTGTGTTGGATTTGAAACTCAACGTTAAAGCTACTAATTTTGTCATTGTGTGGTCTTCTCCATTGAAAGACCAAAATAATTACATTTAGTAATAACTGTGCTGTTGTTTGAATGTTCAGATATTTGTGACTTTTCTTTGTGCATTTCTTAAATTAAAAATATTGATGTGCATCAGTGCTAAGATTTTCTTGAAACAACTGAGAAGAACAAGTTATGTATTTTAAAACAATGCAACAAACAGTTCTGTAAACAAGACTTTTTGATAGTGGACTTGAAAGTGGACTCAAACTTGTGGACCCCAGTGTATGTTTGTGAAAGCCTCAAAGCACAGGCCGAAAAAAACATGCAAGATTTATTTATATATTTTATTTATTTGTATGTAATTATTACTTTGTCAGTGAAAATAACTGCATGGGCATCAAAGGACTATGTTCTTGATTGTTTATTTAAGTGAAAATTGAGGACTTTAGTTAAAAACATGTCAATATTTGCGTTGCACCCTTTCACACAAAATTCTTTGTTTTTCATTGTTTAAGAAGTATGCACTGTGGGTAAGTCAACTTCCAACCTAATTGTTTTTCCAAGTGAGTGACTACTGCCCCAGTATTCACTAGAAGAAATGCATCAGCAGTAAACTAAGTAATAGTAAACTTGACATATACATATTTGTAGATAAATATAATTTTATTTAAATATCCCAGAAGCTTGAATACACAACTGCTCTTTGTGGCAACACTGCATCTGTTCTTTCTGTTTTTCACATAATCAATTTTGTGATTTTTCTTTTCCACATTTTCCCTCATTCAATAGACTGAATAGCTAATAATTTTATGCTCTGTGTGTGTAGGGGTGAAGCCGTACGCTTGTTCCATGTGTGACATGCGGTTTTTCCAGCGTTACCACCTGGAGAGACACAGACTCACTCATACGGGTATGCGTCCATTTACCATACCCAGTTCAAGTTAAGACACTTTACTTAATCAGATCAGTATTTCTCATTCAAGAGAATTGTGACAACAAAAACAGTCACAGTCTAAACAACCATACAAACAACATATAAACAAACCAGACCCAAACCACCTCTTTAAGAGTTAATCAGAAAAATAGTGACAGTATGTTTTTATATATTGGACTAAATGTTGACAAAATGTTTAAACAGGTCTGTAGTATTACATCTTGCATATTATAAAAAGATTTTTCAGTACCCCATTTTAAGGGGTCCCAGTGGTGGGATCACTTCAGAGTGGATTTAATATAAGCAAAATAGTGACCGCAACAGTGAAATAGTAACACAGTACATTTACAGTATAATGCGATCTAATAGAAAGCCCTGCAATAAATCCATCTGTTAAGAAACATACATCTTTTGTTGTATTTGGTGGAAAAAATACAGACTTGATTTTTTTTCCAGTCCAATACAATAACAGAATCAACACCCTCCTTACACAGAACGGCTTGTTATGGATTATATCCAGTTATGGGTCAATATTGTAATGCACTGTATGAATAGATGTTAAGTGCTTTCAACAGCTGACATGAACTGAAATAGCTCCTGTGGACCCCTCAAAGTGTATTATCCCTCTTGTACCATTGCTGCTCAACAAAATTTACAAAATTACATTTTTTAGTTAATTTGTATTCTCTGAGGTTGTTGTTACTGATTCATCGCTTTATCGAGCTGAAGAGACAAAGCTAGCTTTCTGCTAGCCTACATCGTACTATATTAATTATTAATGGCTGAATCCATCATGGTTAGGATTTTTGAAGGATCTGACATGGTGTTACAGCCACAGTATAAGAGAGGGGCATGATTTGTCACCAAGTGTTAAGGACAAAAGTGTAATTTCACAAGCTCTTTGTACAGAGACTGTGCTGTAGGGCCGCAACCAGTTCTCTTCTTCAAGCCACCTTTACATTTTTATTACAGAACCAAATGATGGCAGCATCATTCTGCTCCGGTGTGTGATTTTAGACGGCATGCTAACATTGCGGAATTAAAAGAGGCAGCATGAGCGTGACGTGTAACACAACAGCGTCGGTCTCTAGTATGACATATTCGCATTGGCAGCACTTTATAAACAATTACATAACAATTTACACAATAACAATAATTTGCCATCTTTGATATATGGCGGCTGATCTCATCTTCGGCTTGGAGGCTAAGGAACTCCCAGTCCTCATTGTTTTCCCAAATTGCAGACAGCAACTTTTTGGTGGGTTGCATGCATAACAACTAGTCAAAATGTCACACATGTGCCGCCCATGATCCCGTCCTGCTGACTGTATCGTTCATACAGATGTCGTTTTAGGCGCCGCTCCCACCTCCAATCCCACCTTAAAGGCGAGACCACTCCGTCTCCACATTTTGTAATCGTATCTTTTATAAAGAACAGCAAGGCAGCATAATGGCGTGAAATCCCACCTTGAAGAGGCCGTGTAAAAGCAGTGACAGACACACAATTTTTCAGGGAACTGTCTCACTCAGGTGTTTGGATAATCTGTTTATGCATGGCTTTTATTACTTATTATTTTAAGTTAAAATTTTACAGTGTGTAGCAGTTTGTGTTAATGTCCTCCTACCTGATCCAGCCATGTTAAAGTAGCTGATTACCCTAAGCCATGGTATATTATGGGAATAGTCCTTTGATGTCCACACCTATTTTACACACAGACTAATGGCTGCACAACTCATGTGTCTTACCTGTAATTGTCTGGCTTTTTAAATTAATGTTGGTATTGTGTAGCTGCACAGCTGCCTATACAAATGCTTCTGCTGTAAGTTTATGGCGGGGATCAGATTGGAAGCTTTTCAAAGTTGAGGCAGATCATCACTTTGGAGTGGCAGAAAATGAGCACACTTGTAACACATCAAAGCAACACACACTGTCACGCCACCACAAATTGAATTAATGTGCGCCATATAGATGCTAAACCAATTTCAGCTTGGATTAAGTTACAACAAATACCCTCACCACCATGTCAAAACATGTTGTCGACACTCGTAATACTGAACGGTGGAGAAGTGTGCTAACGTGTCTGCTTCAGCTGACCAGTGTGATCACCGTCGTAGACGTTGCTTTACTATCTTGCTGCTTGTTTTAAACTTGCTTGGCTTTTATCCTGTTGCTGCTTTTGTTTCATGATGTACTGCCGATTATTTGTAAATGCTGCCCATAACAGAAGACACTTTTACCAATTAGAAGTAAAACAAATCAGCCCTTGGCATGAAGCTTGATTGGAATGTGTAATGTCTGCCAGGTTCTGGTGATTTAATGCCTGTGAATGATGCTTCCCTTTGATGCTTAAGGAACGTCTTAGCTAATATGTTGATACTCTGTGTATGTAGGGGTGAAGCCGTACGCTTGCTCCATGTGTGACATGAGGTTCTTCCAACGTTACCATCTGGCAAGACACAGCCTCACTCATACTGGTATGCGTCCGCTTACCATAGCTCTTTAGGTTGTGGTGTTTCAGAAGTGCCTTAACTTTTCCACTTAAAGCAGTGTAAACAGAGATTAAGGGTGTAAAAATGACCACCAAACATTCACACATTCAGAAACATGAAGATGTATCCAGACATGTATTAGGATTGTAAAATATAAAACCTACTACTTTTAGCCCATGATATAAACACATGCAAACACAGTGGAGCGCCTGAATGTACACAACTTCAGCTTTTCCCCTGCTGAATGCTCTACTTTGTTCTGCACAATAATTTCTTCATCACTTTTAATTTTGTAAGGTTTTTCGTTTAACTGAAATGACCCATGGTCACAATACATATAACCATGTACTGCAAAACAAGCACTTGTTTCCCAGACAGATGGTTTAACATTTAGAAACAAAAGAAGAGTCATTCTAAGGGAAGAGTTGATGGTTATGTGTTGAAACTTTTTTGTTCTGTTTCTAGCATATATTTACATACTTTTTATGTGTGTAGGGGTGAAGCCATACGCTTGCTCCATGTGTGACATGAGATTTTTCCAGAGATACCACTTGGCGAGACACAGCCTCACTCACACGGGTATGGGTTTGCCCTTCTTTGCTACATTAGAGCCCAAATACCCAGTTTACTGAAGTTTATCTGTCCTTTGTTTATAGAATGACTTTACCCTGGTTTTGATATTCACAATTATAAAGCTGTTTCACCTGTTGGGCCATGCTGGAGGAGTGCATTTTAGTTTTTGCCTTACCCCTTTTGGGCTCTATTTTGGATAGCATTTCTCAAGTTAACTCTAGTGGTACTTTATTGCAGTGCCTGTAAATTACATCTTGTCTAGCATGTCGGCATTGAAAAGCTGCAATGAGTTTCATTGAGGTCCCTCTTTCATGACAGATTAGAAAATGTTTTTATTTACTGTTGCATCATGCTGGTGCCACTGCTTTTGGCATGTCTGGATACATAAAAGAAGCGAGTGTGTCCTGTTCAGTTTATTATGTTGTTTTTACAAAATATTTTGCTCTGTGTGTGCAGGGGTGAAGCCATATGCTTGCTCCATGTGTGACATGAGATTTTTCCAGAGATACCACCTGGCAAGACACACTCTCACCCATACGGGTATAAGTTTCATTTATCCCTCTCACTTGACAGTATCAGGGGTTGTACATATTTGCCCTTGTGAGTTGGCACCAGTAAGAGTACTTTGACTCAAAGAAAAATTGTAATTTGTACTACTCTGTCCATATTCTTGATTATGAAAGGTTTATGTTTAAGCACAAGTAGATTTTTTTTTCTCATGTTTTCTGTTGTACTCACTGTGTTTGCTATCTGCTTTTAGTGTTGACATTTTTTGTATCTTTGTATGTAAAGAGACTAGTTGGCCATGAAAATAGATGAGACTTTGTAATGACATAACACTGATAAGTGTGTGTAAAATGACATTTTTTTGTGTACATAGTTCATGAGAACACTTTTCTAAAGTTTGGTACTGTATGCGTTTAGGGGTGAAGCCATACGCTTGCTCCATGTGTGACATGAGGTTCTTCCAGCGTTACCATTTGGCAAGACACAGCCTCACTCATACTGGTATGCTTGAATTATTTGTTCCCCTTTCATTATGAAACCTTTCATAGAAACAACCTACACATGATTTTTTAATTGATTAGTCCCTCTGTGTACAATACAATACTTATGCCATTGTTGGTAAATTAATTTCCCCTTCTAAAAAATGTTTCATAGAATTTTTAGGCTTTGTTGGAAAACTGTCCACTGAGAAAGTGACTCTCTCTGTCAGTTACCTTGTTTTGTTTTGTGCATGTGTATTGTTGAGTATTGTATGACATATCCATATGAAAGGCACATTACACTAAAAAGCAGTTAAAATGCAGGCATCAATAGTCTAAAATGTTAAAAAAAAAAAAAAAAAAGGCTGTTTCTCAAGATTTTATTAGGGAAATAAAAAAATGTTCAGCCTGACTAAATAGTGAAATGGTGCATCTTGAACATGGGTTAACTTAAAAGCTTCAAATGGGTTTCTTAGCACCATCAAGAGTTTGTTTGCAGGATGACTGAATATTACTCAAGCTGGTCCAAACTGCAGTGTGTACGCCCTGTTTCTCTGTAATTAATGATGCACCCTAACTCTTGATGTCTGCAGGATCTTATTCTCTTTTTTGTGTAATGTCTCTGACAGAATTTTGCAAATAAAGCATGCAATAGTGAACAACTTGAAAATATTTCCTTATTTTAATGTCTTTTAAATCTTGGTGTTCATGAACTTCATCACTGAAATGCATCTAACACTCTTGTGCTCTGTCTAGGGGTGAAGCCATATGCTTGTACCATGTGTGACATGCGCTTTATACAACGTTACCAACTGGAGAGACACAGTCTCACTCATACGGGTATGTCCTCATTTTTTTGAACCTTGACCCTCTCTTTCCTTGACTTTGGTCATGCATGCGCCCACATTAATGTTTACATGGCTGCTTCAAACTCGAGTTTGTATTGCTTTCTGTCACTGTATTGACAAGTGCTAATGTTTAACGTAGCATCTACAAGGAGCTTTATAAGTACCTGCATAACAATACCTCTTCCCATACTTTGTATATAAAATGACATGATGACCATGAAGCAAAAATGCCAACACTGTAGTTTTATTCAGTTATTTTGCTTGAAACTGTTAATTGTTTAGCTTTAAATGTCGGCAAGCCAAAAATAACGTTTGCACGGAGAGGTTTCCTTTTCAAACGTTTTTCAATATGAACCAGCTCAGCTGTCACTAGTCTACTTTGACATGATACAGACTACACAGTGAGCCCAATAACTGAATCTGTCTTGTGATAAAAAAGAGTTTGATATTGATTGACTTTTTAAAATGTGTTTTATACCACCAATGTGAATCTTTATTTCAGAAACCAGATTCTCATAAATACATTAAATGGATAACGGCTTAGAAGAGCATATAAAAATAATTAATCTTCACTTGCATTCCAAGAATGCTAATGTCCATGGCTTGTAGACTTAATGACATCACTGCACTTTAATATCCCTTTTACTAAAATTGTGATTGAGGTAAACTAAAATATGAATGTTTTTAGTCCATTCCCTGGTCTGAAAATGTCATATTCACAATATTAATACACATCAAAGCTGCAGGAGGAAAGTTCAAAGTGTGTCCAAAAACTGCGTCACCTAGAATAAAAAAAGAATGCAAGACCTTTTTCTGCATTTTTTCAATTAAAGATAATGAGGAACCAGATTGTCTGATTTTACAGAGTCCTGTTCATTTTGGAACAATTGTGGAAATGATTACCAAACTCTGAATTAAGCAGTATGTGTCGGTAATATGGCCTGGTGGGGGGCTAGACCTGTAGGGGGAACAACACAGTGTGGGGTCTCAGTTGATGTGAGTGGGACTCAAAATGGGGATTTATATTTAGGTCATATGTAGGCTAAAATTCACACCGTGATTTTTTTGATCCTGTGAAAAATGAAAACATGCAAATAAACAGATGACTGCTCACACAGCTTAGTCATTATGTCATTTCACATTCAAAGTAATGGTGAGGAAATAACATAAAATCTCTGTCACAAATAGTTTCATTGTCTGTCATATTTGAAAACAGGTCTTATGCTGTTTTTTAGTCTGCATTTATAGTACAGTTTTAAAATTTTGAGAGAGTTAATAGCTTTGTTTTGCTTAAAATTAAAAGCAAGGTTTTGTATAATGGTTTTCAGAGCAGTTGTCATTAATATTTAACAGTTTTTCAAGTTACATTACAAGTGTTGCTCTGCAAACAAATGTCTAATTTTAATGTGTTGTGCATAGTTGTTTTCCAACTGCCTAAAATTGTCTAACCTCAGCGATCAGCGTTACAAAAATTCAAGCATTTACATTTGAGTTCAGAAATCTGTATTTGGTATGTTGAAATTATATGATAAAAGCACCTATTGGCATCCTGTGAAAAACATGCTATTGTCTTAGTATGAATGTGCCCTCTAGGGACTTTGGTTTTGTTTCAGTTAATTGTCTGGTCATGTCGTAGTTTTTTTAGGTTTGAAAATAAGTTAATTTTGTTTTCCACAGAGAATAATCCATTCCCCCCAAACCTGTAGCAGTTACAGTTGAACTTGAATTAGATGTCAAAGTCCAATTGGAATAGCCGAGTTTTGAAGCATACTGGAATTTTCCAGTGTAAACAAAGCGCTGATGAGTGCAACCAAACTTTACTAAGCAATTAGTAAAGTTTAGCGTCGATCATTTTTGGCAGTTGACTGTTTTATGCTAAAGTTGGTACTTTGTGTGTATAGGGGTGAAGCCGTACGCTTGCACCATGTGTGACAAGAGGTTTTTTCAGCGCTACCACCTGGCGAGACACAGCCTCACTCATATGGGTATGCGTCAGCCAATCTTAACCCTGTCACAAGATTAGGATGCTGCAACACCTGTATGTTTGGTCTAGTCTCATATGGTATATCTGTATTTATACACAAATTATTCAAGTGTAATATCTCATAGCTGACATCATCTCATGTATTGTGTAAGTGGATTTTTAGATCCCCTTTGGGAATTTTTGTTATTTCAAACAAGCATCATATTGTACCTTTTTTGTAAGTACTTTTAGGGAATGACATTGGTTATTAACCACCGACATCAATTTAGCCCAGATTGATACTCTTATGTTATATAAGGATTACAGATTTATTTTACTCAGCCTGGTGGCAGAGACGCAAAAATAATTCTCTTGATGCTCTGCGTTTAGGTGTGAAACCTTATGCTTGCACCATGTGTGACATGAAGTTTTTTCAGCGTTACCACCTGGCGAGACACAGCCTCACTCATACGGGTATGGGTCCGTGCACCGTGCCCATGACACTCACTGTGAGAAATCTGTGTGACATTTAATATTGTTAGCTCACTTCAGACATACGCCTGTTAAATTTAAGGGAAATGTCAATATGAAGTATGAAGATTTAAGGGTTTCCTAGTCTGTTGATGTTTGCCATTATCAGTTAAACAGAATAACCATAAATCATTACTTTGTTGATTTTTTTTTTTTATGTTCGTTGGTAACTACAACACAATGAAATGGATAAAAGCATTATGAAGAAATATTTGAGGGGAAAAAAAGTTGTGTTTTTGCATGAATTGGCGATTGTGTGGTTAATAACCAATAGTGTATATATATATATATATATATTTATATTAACTCCTGAATAAAAAGAAATGGAAAGTGAGGCAAAGTATTATAATATTGCTACTTTGCATTTAGGTGTGAAACCTTATGCTTGCACCATGTGTGACAAGAGGTTTTTTCAGCGCTACCACCTGGCGAGACACAGCCTCACTCATATGGGTATGCGTCCGCCCACCTTACCCATGTCACTGAGATCTGATTGTAAATACATTATTTTAGATACAGAGTTATCTGAGGTAGTCATCAGTACTTTAAACAATTTCCTGATGGAGCCTACCCTACATTATGTGTGTAAATGCAACATTAAAGCAAATCTTAATGTGTAAAGAAGTAAAGGACTGCAACATCATCAGCTCATGTGATGTGTTAAGTTGTGGATTTGAGAATTGGTTAACACAGTTGGATGCATTTCTTATTGGATTTAAAGGAAGACATAATTTCTTAAAAAGGTCATTCAAAACGATTGAAAGAAGTGGTTAACAACCCATCAATTCTGAACAGATAACTGAAGTATAATGCTTATTGATGGATTGTGAACACAAAATACAGTCTGAAAATAATACCCTAATGCTCTGCGTTTAGGTGTGAAACCTTTTGCTTGTACCATGTGTGACATGAGGTTTGTTCAGCGTTACCACCTGGCGAGACACAGCCTCACTCATACGGGTATGCGTCAGTGCACCTGCCCTTCTCACATTTTGTAGGCCATTAGCGCAAACGGTTGCAACACAGATGTCTTAATGTAGACGTAGCCAGATCATTAGCTGTGTGTAAAACTTAAAAGCAAAGTATTTGCATTAAAGTTCTGTGATCTTTAACTACATTAAGGTAGTTTACTTACAGTGATAGTAATCAATGCCCTCTAGGACATTTAGCACCTTCTTAATGAGAATTAACTAAAAGGCTATAAAAGCCAGCAGTACTGACACATTTGGCCCCATACATAAGCTTTTAAAACAATTTTGGTCACCACATTATTAGAAATCTCTCATCAGAAAATGATCTTACTTCATCAGCTCTTCTTTAACTGGCATGATTACTAGTGGTGAAATGCTTAGTTGTTTAAAGTGTCCCTTAGCATGATGTTTTCACCCTGAACTGTTCTCCTAAAGACACTGGTAAAGCAAAATACCTTGTTAATTTTAGTACGATTTAAACTTAGATTAGTCAAAGGCTAATAACATGATACATATAAAAGTAAAGGCAGTGATTGCAGTGCTACCTGACTGTAATTGCAATTCTTAACAATAAAATTGGCAGCATAGAAATCATTGTGATTTGTGATACAGCAAATGCAGTCAGTTGTGTAGTTGTCTTTGTTGGTAACTGTAAGAAAACATCAGACATATCTTTTTGTTGTTGCATGAATTGGCAAATGTGTGGTTAATAACCAATAGCTTAGGTATTTTTTCATAAAGAATGATAATATTGCTACTTTGCATTTAGGTGTGAAACCTTATGCTTGCACCATGTGTGACAAGAGGTTTTTTCAGCGCTACCACCTGGCAAGACACAGCCTCACTCATATGGGTATGCGTCCGCCCACCTTACCCATGTCACTGAGATCTGACTGTACCTAACATTGTATTAGAGGGTCAGCTGTCTCAGATAATTATCATCATTAGTATGATTATTCTGTAAAAATAACTAGTTGTACATTTCTTCTTGATTAAGGCTATGCTGCATTATGTGTGTAAATGCAACATCACAGCAAGTCTTTACATGTAGATAATTACAGGGCTGTAACATCATCAGCTCATGTGATGTGTTTAGTTGTGGATTTGAAATTTGATTGACACAGTTTGATGTATTATTAATTTGATTTGGAGAAAAAAACTCAACATGCATTATTTTCAGAAACATTTTACATAGTAAGAAAGAAGTGGTTAACAGCCCATCAATTGTAAATAGATGTTTAAAGTACAGCACTGATTGATGGATTGTGAAACACAAATTAAAAGACCTGAAAATAATGTATTGATGCTCTGCATTTAGGTGTGAAACCTTTTGCTTGTACCATGTGTGACATGCGGTTTGTTCAGCGTTACCACCTGGCGAGACACAGCCTCACTCATACGGGTATGGGTCCGTGCACCTGCCCTTCTCACTTTATAGAGATCACTATTACTCTGTACAGAGCTCATATGATGGGTACTTTTGTGTGGTTACAATAATAGAAGACTTATTTGTAGGTGCTCAGGTTAGTTGGTGTTAGTAAGACATTTTAAATTACTATTATTTATTCATTATCTTAAATTTCCTTTGCTTTAAACTAGGTTATTTAGCAAAAAATGAATGTTGCCCTCCAGGATTGTTGGCGGATAATGTACATCTCTTGTGTCATGTACACCCGATTAAGCTTAATCTGTTATCCTTGTAAGAAAATAGCATATCAGTGTGTTACTGTACATTCAAACCAGAAGTTTCCAAAGAGGCAAAGTCTCTCGCGGACACCAAAGAAGCACAACTGTCAAAAATATTTGTGGCAGCTTTGGTCGCTCTGGTCGCTAACCACATGAATCATTGAACGTTCAATCGTGCTTGTCAATTTAAAGGAGCTGCAAAGCGGACTGCTGGCTTGAAAGCAGCGTAGTTGCTGCTTGCTGTTTACCAGTCAAAAAGCTCATAGTTGGAACACAGAAAGTTATGTATGGTCAATGAAAACAGAAAGCATATGTCATCCCATTCAAACCAGGAAACCTGTAGGAACCAAAGTTACATGGCTTGTTCTCTGGGACCCGCTTCATCGAAGCACATCAGCATTCCGTTTGGTTTCTCCGAACCGTGTCAGAGCTCATTACCATAAAGTTAAACGAGTTTTAACTCCCCTCCGGACCACTCCGGTCGCTTTGGACGCCCAAGACGCGCAGCTGATGACCAGGTAGCCCAAGTCTCCAGACTCTCATTGAAAATGAATGACTTCTTCCGTTTTGGAAGCTCTGGTAGCTGTTGGTTTGAACGTACAGTTAGGCGCAGGCGTAAATGCAATCTGTCTGTACACCATGACCACAATCATGAGAAAAAAATCCACCTAGCAAGTTGAAAGGTCACCTTAATATGCATCTTCCTGCTAGCATAAGCAAGCCAAGCAAAAACTATAAAAGGTAGCAATAGCTAGCAAGTCTTCCGTCACCTCGCCATGGGATTGCCTCCCATGTCTACTGACAAACCAGCCTAATTCATTCAGATCAAAACTAGGGGCTAATCGAGACAACAAGATAACATGTCCAGGTGCCGAGGAGATATCGTGTCTGTTTTCCTCTTTGCCCTCTAATTTTTAAATCTGTTTTCATTCAGATATTCAGGTTTTGATTTATGCTCAATCTGTTAGGTTAGATTCAGATCCTACCAGCTGTGTGAGTTCATTTTCACCACACATACCAGTGATACTGGAGGGCAATTCAAGAACTATAATATGGATGTAGAGGATTGAGTATGCTGCCTTTTTGCTAAGGTTTAATGTTAACATTTCTGTCTCCAATTCCACTTGTGAATTCTGGTTCTTTTTCCTACTTGCAGTTTTTGGCATAATTTTTTAGAGAGACATGAAGTGATGAATTAAGAATATGTTGGGGGGGGGGGGACTCCTTTCCAGCACATTTGGGCTCTGATATTGACATTTGTCAAAAATAATTTTGTGCTTACTTTTGGTTTAAAGATAAAGAGAAATAAATATCATGTCTTCTGTTATGCACACAGAAGTGCAATGGCTCTAAACTTGAAGTTTAGAGCCATTGCTCCCAGAAGAAGAAGCTCCCAGAAGTCAATAAGCATAACTGAGAATCATGAAACGAAATAAATCCACAATTCTCCTAAATTTTAAATCAGAATGGGTTCTTGAAACCCAGCCTTACTAAAAACAGTCTGCATACCACTTTGTCACTTAGGAATCTATGTGAAAGAGTGATTAGGTTTTTTGGCAGATCAACACAGACTTCATAATAACACTTAATTCTACCGTGACAACCCTTATTTTGCATTTGTGATGGCATTTGATTGCATCGTAATAACAGTCTTACAGTATCTTTATCTTTCTGCAGCATTTTGAGAATAAAATATCTGTGTTTAACCTTAAAAGTAAATGAAGGCTTTAGGAAACTTCGCATCTAGTAATAATTCAAATTTAAACTCACAATGTTACAGAATTACAGAAAATTATTCATTAATGCCTTTGTAGTATAAAATTAGTCATAACAGACGGATGGTGAGAGGATGCTGTCAGAGTTGTTGCAGTGTCAAGTGAGGATATTACTGATGTTTATTTAGACAGTGATAAAATGCTATGACACACACATGTAACATATCTTGGTGTTTTTGCTTTAAAACCAGACATGTTTAGCTCCACTACATTGAAATCTTGTGGTCTTAGTTGCATGTCTGAACATTTCAACACATTTTCTAAAACAGAAAAAATGCACATTACATACAAAGAAATGATGAGCTATTACTTCTGTCAGTTTTTTAGTCCTAGTGCTAGCTTGAGCTTGAAAGTTGTATTTCTTGCACTTGTGGGTGGTAGGGCTAATATGTTGCTCTGTGTGTGTAGGGGTGAAGCCGTATGCTTGTTCCATGTGTGACATGAGGTTTATTCAGCGTAACCACCTGGAGAGACACAGCCTCACTCATACGGGTATGCGTTCCTTTACCGTACCCTTATTACTGAGAAAGGCTCTGGCGCTTCCAACAGAATGGGGTCACAACAAACTCGAGTTTGGATTGTCAAGTCATTTGATGGGATGTTGAACCAGCCTCAAAATACTTCGCCCCACTTTTTGGGGCCACTATGTTGCGTAGATCTGGGCCATGAAAACAAGAAATTCCACTCTGATCTACACATAATGAGTTGATGACGAGGCCTTTTTAGAACATCAGTTTTCAGATGCTGAAACTAAACTGTTGAAATTTACTGATAGGGCAATTTTTTTCCCAACTTTTTGTAAGTGTTGGGAATATAGTTTGCAAATAAAGACTAGTGAGTGAAAATTGCACGCACTTTGTTGGTACAAGACGCTAAAATTGATTCATTGACTGTGTATTTGTGTGCTCTTTCAGGAGAGAAGCCATTTGCTTGTGACATGTGTGATATGAGGTTTATCCAGCGCTACCACCTTGAGAGACACAAGCGTGTCCATAGTGGGGAGAAGCCTTACCAGTGTGAACGGTGCCAGCAGGTATGCACAAATGTTAACATGACAAAGTGACCCTAATGTTATATGATATTCGTGTATTGTTTAAGGTGGAAATAGACTTTTTTTTTTTTTTGCTTTGAAGGTTTAATGTGTAGGACTTAGTTGCATCTAGTGGTGAGGTTGCATAATTGAAACTTCAAACACAGTGGCCGACGTAGAAACGTGAAAACATAGGCCGTGTTTACAGGAAAACAATCCGCTGAAAACAGAACTGTTTCTCATTTTTGTTTTGAAAAAAGTTCCGCGTTCAGACGACATTTTGATAACAATTGCTTTGCACGCGCGTCCGCAAAATGACCAAAAATGCTGCAGTATACATGCCAGGCCAGTAGTTGGCGGTATGACTTCGCAATGAAACATACACCTGCACACATGCGCTTCCTTCTACAGAGTGGTGATGTATAAACAAACAAAATTGCAACGGCACGAACATTTTTCTGGACGGACAACGAGGTGGAGTTGCTACAGTAAATCTACACTTTGCTGGAGAAGCATTGATAAATTCAAGAGGATGAGCAGCACAAGCAGAGCTCGGGAGTCCACCATTGTTGTTGTGATGGTTGACTTTCTCGCACATGCCTAGTGACTGGAACCGTAATGCGCATGTGCGAAAAGTCTCCGTTTTCAGAGGAACCGCATATTGCAAGTTTACATGATAACAGAGATGGTGCTGTTTCCAAAAAATTGCACACTGGAACCCGTTTTCAAAACATTGCGTTTTCAGGCACCCAAATGCTGCTGTTTTGTAAACAATCAGCCGAAACACAACTAAAGTTTACCGTTTTCAGTTGAAATCCCTACACAAACTTGTAATTTAGTAAATGTTGATTGTACAATGTGATGATGATAGAATAGTGACACCATCAGCGTTTAGATTGGTTACTTTTAAGCCTGGCATTCACTATGCTATTCTGTCTGTCACCGGGTTTGATGTCCTGGGAAAATAAAGGCTTGTTTTATAAAGGAGATGCGTCAATCATTTCACAATCAAAACAGGAATAGGATAGCGTTTTTGTTTCCCCGGTAGCTATCAGTAGCTTCTCCCAGTATTTGTGTATGTTAGAAACCCCACGTCACTGCGCAACAGGTCTGCCTGTCAATTACAAGTTTGTTCGCTTCCTCCTGATAGTCCGGATAGATTTGTTTTGTGTCACCTAAGTGACGTCATTACAGCTGCCCTGTTGACGAGTCAGCAATGTGAGATTTAGTTTCAGTTTCCTCTCCAGTTTTTTCAACATTCACCTGCACAACCTTTGTTTATTGCTGTGTGTTAATGCTTAAAGGTGAGTGTGTTTATTTAGAAATGAAACCCAGACATTAGTGTGACTGCTCGCTAGGCTCTGAGGAAAACTGAAAGCAATCCAGTTGTCTTGCAAGAGTGGCGCCAACAATTATACCACTCAGAAACACTGGGGGGTGGGAATGTCTGTTTCAACTTATAATTCATTTTGTGTGTCACATTTGATGTCTAAAATGTGCAATGTGAAGACTGACTTATTGTGTCTTGGTTGTTATATCTATTGAAAAGACTTATCCTCCACATTACTGACTGGTACGAGTACTAACTGTCCAATTTGTGTGTTTTGAAGAACTTTTCACGGACAGACCGGCTGTTGCGGCATCGGCGGTTGTGCCAGGGTCGCGGCGTAGCCAAAGTAGAGAACCAGCCATGCTGCGAACCACGCCCATACCCCCAAGAACCCCCACCTGCACCCCCAACCTGGAGTCCCCTGCACCCCCCTCCAGGCCGACTGGCGGTCTGACATTCCATCTTTCCTACATCCACAACACCGCCAGAAACGGGACAAGCCACAGGGTTTCTTCTTCTTCTCAACTCTGTGCTGAGTGACGCCACACTCTAGCACAGACTGACCTTGCAGCTCCAGTCTTGGGATTACTAATGACAGAGGGACATTTGTGTTTTCGTTCCGTTGACTTTTTACTGTGTTTCCTTTTCTCCCCCCATTTTTTTAAAAGACGAGACTTTTCTGTGATGAACAGTGGTCCTGTTTTGTACTTAATCTATTTGATTTTTGCAAAAGAAAAAAAAAGTTTTTATTGTTGTTCAAATATATCTGCATTTCGTGGTACTCGGGAAGGGCTGTGGGTATTGTTTATCCTCACATGTTAGCAACAAAATGGGATGAAGTGGTGAGGAAACGTATTTGAGCTTCTGTGTAATTTTTCCTCATGTGGCCCATTTTGACTCAGAAAGGTCGTCACTTAGGTCCTCGTTAATAAAACTGAACTTTCCGTCCAGATAAAGCAGGGAAACCATCCTATCATGCACACCACATCTTGTTTGCCATTGTTGCTAACATAGTGCTAAGCATTAAGACATTTCACTGAGAGCAGTATCTGCTCTAACTATGATTTGAACAATAGGGTTTCCCTGACTTATCCACATAGGAGGTTCAGTTTTAATGATTACTTTGTGTAAATAATTGAAAATGTTTATTATTTCACTATGGGACATAAATGGGGATTTTTTTTGTGCACAAAATGGGCCAGAAACAGATCATTAGAAATGGGTTCAAATACAGTCCTCTGCTACTGTTGCGTGAAATCCTGAAGAAACCGGAGTAAATTTGTGTGTTTATTGAAAAAAAAGTGATAGTGCTGCATAACTGTAAACCAGGACTTCCAAGAAGTGGACAATGAGAGGGGCAGCCTGCAGTTGAGAGGCTCTGTGTCAGACATGAAGGGTTGGGTCACAGGAGTATCACCTGTGTATCTCATGTTCTGTGTCATGTATGGCATGCTGATGACTCAGGAAATGGCCCAGGATGGCAGCTGTGGCAAGTCTCCGCCCAGTTAGCAAGAGTCATGCTATTGTAAGTTCAGCTGTGTATATATACAGTATATATGCAGAGATTTTCAGTACGTAACAGAAACATTTCTCTCCTTGATCTGTCCGTAGATTCTGGTCTAAAATAGCACAGGGTGGCCACGTGAAGTCCCATTATGTTGTTTGTACAGATAGCTCTCATTGTGAGATTAACGGGGGTATACAAAATCTTGTGGCCTTAGTGTGTTTCTGTTTTTCATTTGCCTTTTTTCTCAGCTGTTTATTATTGTGGATCAGATGTATTTACTATGACGAGACAGCCTTTCATCATCATGCTATTTTTTTTATTTTTTTTAATTTTAGTTTATTTTTTATCCTAAAGCTGTCATGGTTACAGAATGTTGATGGTTTCAGTGGCGCTAAAAGAAACTAACGTGTTCTCCTGTCAAGAGAGGTTGTCTTTTGATGATGATAATGAATATTTTGGGTCATTGTTACCGATTACAGTTTAACAGTACGTAATCCTTAAGGAGCTCCTGGGAGTTTGACGGTCCTTGTGAGAAGTCAGTAGTGCTAAATTGTTTCCCACTGCAGTGCTGTGGCTGCTCGCACGCCACAGCAGAATCAACACTTGCTTGACTCTACTACACACTAACAATTGCCTTTTTTATCCAAATATGTGGTTGGTGTGTAATAATGGATGTCTGTCATGTCATTGGGTTTAGCCTTAAGTAAGTGTGGATACACAAATAATCATTGTAGTACTAAAAAAAAACATACTGTAACAGACGATTTCTTTTACCCATGATGAACTTTGATCGTATTGTGTAACAGCAGGGAGCCAGCTGACCAGGGCCACTTTGCTGCGAATTGAAACAGTTTCTCAAACTTGATCTTTTCTGTGACTGGTGAGGAAGTGATTGCATCGTCCCAACTATTTTGTGTAAGCCAGTAATATGAGTGCTGGGTGGGAGGATTAGCCTGCTAGGCTGAACATACATGTACATATGAAGACATCACAACTGTTCTTTGATGCCAGAGCAAGCAACAGAAACATCACGGTTGATTTCACACTGAGAAGAGAACTTTGTTTTTGTTTTTTAATTTAAAAGGAGATAAGCTTCAGTGAATGTGGAGGTGGAATCCTAGAGTGCATCTTCTCGTCTCTTATTTCTAGGATGTACAGATGTTTGTGTTTGATACATTAGCAGATTATCGAGTTAAGTGATATTTTACCAACAGTATTATTGGGAAGATTTCTTTACAATGGTCCATTGATTGCAAAGCAAAGTTGTACTACGTTGTTTTAAGTGTGTACAGAGACGGGATTCAGTTTTAAGTGTTTTGATAAGATAAAGTGAAACCCAGTGGCAGCAAAGGGGCCAAGTTTGAGAAATTGATTTGATTTGCTGTGGAAACACTATTCCCAATCTGTGGAAGGGACACCGCTGGTGCGAGCACATACTGAAATGGCTAAAGGGCAATACAGTATAAAGTTGACATCACTTGTTAATACCTTTTTGTCTTTTATTGTTTTTAGTATTATCAGTATCATTGTTAAAATGCAATAGAATCCTTGAGTCTCAGATAATTTGTTTATAAGATTGAGGTTTAATTTTTACAGACAGATCTGAGGATTTATTTGTCTGGGAATTTCTCATCACATTTTGATGATTGTTTCAAGGACCTTTTTTTATTCTGATGAAATTGTAAACACTGGAGTGACGGGGAAAAAAAGACAAAAAGACAGATGGATATTTTTTTTCCTTCAGACTGTACTAGACTTTAGGTTTTAGACAAAGCCTATTTCTCCTCAACGTGACACAGAAGGCAGACAGAACAATTTGGATCAGTACAGTTGAGAGCCCAGTATGTTTGGTAATTTTGACATTAGAGGCAGTAGTACCACAAGAAAATGTTTTCTTTCTTATACAAAGTCCCTGGTATTTGTAGTAAATTATATTGATAATGGTATTAGATGAACAACAGCATAACAGTAGCTATCACAGATTAGTTGTTTTCTTTATTAGTCTTGCATGCAGAGTTATGGTCCTCAGTTAAGATAGGATCTTGATATTGATTATTTTGTGTAGGAAAATGAGTGCATAAGAATAACTTCCTAAAAAAATGTTACAATGATTATTGTAAAATGGGCTAACTAATATGTACCCTTGTGATCCAATTAGTTTCAACTATATGAAAATCAGAGGAGAGGCTTCTTACTATTATGCTGAAATAAAAGAATTTGTAAAGGACTTTTTGTATGCTTACTGGCTGTGTTGACTTCATTTTGTGTGGCCTTATGTTTTGCTGTTCACTCATCAATAACACACCATTCATTAAATCAGACCTACTGAGGGAATCATTGGAGTTGTTTGATTAGAAGACTTGAGTCATCTAATCAAAACTTAGAAATTGTGACGTAACTTTTAAAGCACAGCGCTTTCTGACGTCAAAGAACACAAACTCCACCACTGGATATATAACCCAGACAGATGAGAGTAAGATGTTATTCTAACTCGACCAAGTGGAAGGGTCAGGGTCAGCTAAACTTGAGAAAAATCTGTGGTAGCAGGAGTTAATCTAATCGGAAGAGCATACAGGTGATGGGAATTTTGTCAGGACAGTTTGTGAGCTGCTTTTTAGGCCAATAAAATGTTTCGGGCATGAGTGACTTAACATTATGAGCTGCCCAGGGGCCGTGAGTGGCTTGAGGAAACAGACAACTGGATGTCTGACACCATTCAAACGGAAATATTTGATTTTTTGGCACAGGAAGTGTTTCACCAGAAAGTGTTTCAGACTGGGGTGCACAAGGATGCCCTGGGGGACCAGGGGGATAGTGCTCCTTTACGGTTGGCCTTGGTGCCTCCCACCCTTGGTGTGACTGGAAAGGCAACGTTTGTCTGTGTTGGTCCTGTTCATTCCTGAGGGGGACACCCCTACTGCAATCTTGACCCCATAAACATGGGAAACTCCCAAAGTCTGATTCCTTTATCCACAACTTTGGGGATGCAAATGGCTAAATTGCGGGATTTCCAAACATGCCGACGCTTGGTAGGCAGTGTATTTTCCGCCTGGGCCATCGCTGTTGTCGTGAAGGCCTGCTAACTGCATCTGGCTCAGGGACCCCTTTTCTGGGGGCGGTAGTAGCTCGTTCCTTGGGGACTTGGCCAGGGGACTGGATGGCAGGCCGTCCTAGTCCCATTGTAGACCAGGTGTGTGGTGTGAAATGGCAGCTAGGAAAGCACTCCTGGGAACTGCCGTGGTGCCCTTGAGACAGACACTGAACCTACAGGGGTTGTACCTATACAGGGGGACCAAAGAGCATGGCCAAACGTCTGGCAAAGCAGTGTATGGAGGCAATGCTCTGTCATGGTTTGCCTTGGGGCCTCCTGCCCTTTGTGTGACTGGAGAGGCACCACACCCGACACATTGTTGTTTGTTGGTCTCAAACACCTGCTCTCCAAAGTCTGGGGTTTGTTGGATCAATCCACCTCCCCCTCTGGCTAACATTAGTGTTGGTGGAAAGCCTTTTGCATCTTACTCAGATGCTAAACAGTGCCCCAAGTGTTGATATAGTGATGTCATGGGCGCTGAAGCTCTAGGAGTGAGACCCGGCTGCTACCAAAACCCATCGTAGCAGATATTGTATGTTTCACAAGCATTAATGCTCTGTCAGCCACTGACAGCCTACAAGCTGAAACAAACATTAACATTAAAAAAAATCATCTGAGTCTGGGTCTGACTGAGGCTACAACATGTATGGGTAAATCTATCTGATTTTATCTCTAATGCTAATGCTAGCCATATTGATACACACTGCTCTTTCACTGGTCAACCTAGTGTAAGCAGTGCTGCAGAAAGAAGAAAGTGAAACCAGCAGCAGTGGTGGTGGGTGGGATAGAGGCCAGACCAAGCATTTGTAATAGAGTGGCCCAGGAATGACATTTTTCTGTAGGAGGGTACAGAAGTTAGCATCACACTGGTTCCCTTGTTAAAAAGCAGATGGGATTTTTCCATTGAATTTTGAATTATTGCAGAAAATAAGCTCTGTGGCAAACAAACGTTTATGATACTGACACGTTTTGTTCAGCAAGATAATCTTCATAAATGAACACCACTTTGATGGTAACCGAAGCCTAAATGCAATCACCAGAGGTAAAAGGCTAAGGTTCGACTTCAAATTAACTAATGTTACACGACGTTCTCATGACTTATAATGTCACCTCCATAACAAGACTGTAAAGCTGGTTGGTCACAGATCAGCATGATGATGTTCTGTAGTCTCATTTAGCAACTTGTTGGCAACTGCCTTTTTTGAGACAGAAGTTCACAAGTGGGGTATATACTGACGTATCTTATGTTGCAGAACATAATGTGAAACTCAACTGCTAAGCTAGCTAACGGCTAGCGAGCTAAGTCTACACTAGTTAAAAGTTGCTGAAGTAGCTAGTAAGATGCTAGCAGGCTAAACCGTCCACACAGTTATTCCGGCACTGCGCTTTTTAAAAAAAAATGTTTGCAGTCTTTCACAGTACCTGAACAAAAGCCCCACACTCTGCATGCTCCTGTGCTTACAGTCAGTTCTTGTTGACACACTGTTCAGTACTTTTTCTTCCTGCTCTCCTCCATGCTCCCGCCTCTCCAGGGTTGCCAGGTCTGGGTCTGACCCTTTTCTTCTTCTCGGCCTCATGATAGGTTCACAGCTTTATCAAGCAAATAAACAACCATTCAACTTGAACTCGAAATACCTAAGTACTAAACTTAATTTTACAAATTTCTTAAACCCTCACAAAGTAAAACAATACCTTTTGAAAACAAAATGTATATCTTCCTTAGGGCTCTTCAAATTTTAAAAGAAACATTCTTCTAAATGCATATAAATCAGACAATAATATAATAGTACTGCACAATACAAACATAAGTAGGCCTACATAAATAAAAATACATACAAAAATAAAGATAAACTGGGGTCTAAGTATACAACAATGCATATTCAGTCAAAGGAATCAGGGAAGAAAGTTGCATAATCTTCCAAAATATATGGATATGTTGATTTTAGTATCAGTTATCGGCCAAATGAGTTTCTTATAGATCAGCATATCAGATATCAGCAAAAAATCCAATATAGTGCATCTCTAATATTTACCTATAGACCGACTTGCAAAACCACTTAGTTGAATGTGGGCGTGTAGACGATGGGATATGAGGCTGATCCACATGCAGACAATTCCAAGATGATTTGGAATTTATAAATTGTGTACTGGCAGGTGCATGGTTTTATAAATCAGAATTTTTTTGGCGCACATACTTTTCCTCATTTGTATATATACGCAAACATTTAGTGTAGATTCTCCACAGTTTTATAAATGATATATTTGTGTCCCTGATGTTCCTAGATGCCACAAGGCTAAAAGAAAAAATATAATTTAGGTGAAAAATTGTGAGAAAAAAAAAAAGTCTGTCATTGGCTGTTCAAAGGGCTACAGTTACCTCAGTATTTGTCAGAAAGATTCACAATTAGGCTTAAGTGAAAGCCAACAAGTCCCCCTTTAAAATGACACCAAACTCAATATTATAAAACACTGAAAAATGTCCTGACCATGAGCCTAAACCAGGCTATGCACCAGCATCTAAAATCCAATTTACTTTAGGGGGTGGTTCACTTCGAGAGCTGGTTACTTTGACACAGCTGCCACTCAGGAATGTCTATCATACCAAAATATCATCTACAGACATGGACCTTTTCATAAATCATTACTAAGTTTTGCCCCCTTGAGTGGTACCCACAAATGAAACTTTGGGCTCTGGCCCATGGACTATGAGGCCACAGGTGTGAGTGGGCAGTGGTAGCTTTTTCTTCGCTGTAATGACAGCAGTTCTCCTGTAGGGGGCAGCAGCCGCTTTGATGCGACCAGACAAAACCTGGCAGGACGGCGCAGAGGAAGACAGTCCACTGTGTTGTTTCTACATCCACGGTCCATTCACAATAATACGAGTCAACGAAAGGTTTCAGCAAAGTAAGTTGACGTTAATGTCCAAACCTTAGGGAAGCTGTCACAACGTAGCGTCATTGCTACGTTTATATCTGACAAACCGGCCCTGGTTAAATGCTCGTGTCAAAATGTTGAGTGACAATACATCTGCCACTGATGAGCTCGCGTGTGGAGACCAGATGAAGGCACTGCCTTTGTGTGAGTCAGAGGAGCAGACTTTGAAACCAGCACCGGAGGTCAACACGACCCCCTCCTCCAGGTTTCTGCAGGTTGAACTGGAGCTGAATGCCCACCTCCGTCGGCTCACCTTCAGCGAGCCTGTCCAGTACATCTACAACCCGCTGGAGTACGCCTGGGACACCCACCGGTGCTTCGTGGAGAAGTACTGTCAGGGCGGACAGAAGATCCTGTTTTTAGGGATGAACCCAGGACCCTTCGGCATGGCACAGACGGGGGTGAGCACAGCATGTCTAGGCTACATTTAATCTCAGCATGTTGCACAGGAGCACGGAGAATTTAGCAGTAATGCTCGATGACATGAATGCGGAAGCTGCTAACATCAACTGTAACAGCCTTGCTCCTGTTGTTGTTGGTGTGCATTTTCCTCTATGTCTTTGTATTTTATTATAACATTTGTAATATGATTTATTACTACCTTGTAAGGAAATACACCATTAAGGATCAACTACAGTTAAGGGCTTCAAAGGTCCAGTGTGTAGTATATAGTGGGATATATTGGCAGAAATGGAATATATTATCATAAGTATGTTTTCGTTAGCGTATAATCACCTAAACATTAAGAATTGTAGTGTTTCCATATCTTAAAATGAGCCGGTTATATCTAGGCTACATAGGGAGCGGGTCCTTCCCAGCCCCTGTGCCTACAGTAGCCCAGATCGGACAAACCAAACACTGGCTCCAGATAAGGCCATTTGTGTTTTGGCATTTGGCCACCATAGTTAGTTTCTCTTCTGCAACAAGCGGCGTCCAAAAAACACTGCTTTATTAATGTTTTTAATGGGTAAATCACAAGAGTCCATTTGTTTTAGAGAGAAAGAGACCTCTTAACTTATCAGAGAAAAAAAGCTGAGTACTGATTTGTAACATGAAGCTGCTTTATGCAGTGTTTTTATCCATTTTAATCACCTGGTCCATTCATTTTGGTTAAGAAGAGACATATGTGGATAATTTGCTCCCAGTAAAAATCTCCTAAACAATAAACACTGAAGGAATCTTAACCAGGGGCCTGTTGTTCGAAACCTAGATAAGGGATTAAGCCGGGATATGTTGGTTATCCTGGCTTAATTTAGCGTTGATTTGGTTGTTCGAAAGCAGAGGCACATATGTTGCCATGGATATTTATTCTGTGCACTTAACCTGGTCCCAACCAGGCTAACAACCAGGCTTAGTTTAGCCTGGTGCCTTATCTGTCCAGTCAGCTGTCACTGCGATCGGAAATCAATGTGTTTTACTGTCATTTCATGTTCTTATGTACGTATTTGCCTCATTTTTGAACAAAATACATTAAGCCTACAATAATAAAAAAAAAAACATTGAACATTTAAAACATTATTTTTGTCATAGCCCAAACATATTTTGACGTGCACATATCTTTACCAATAAAAGGATTAATTGTTGGAATAAACATACAAGTAGGTGTATTTGGCATTAACACAATTAGTATAGTGGTTAATAGGTTTCATAACTGTATGACCTTCCCAAATTATATTCCCAGTTAACTGGATCAATAACTCCAGTGTACTTTACATCAATGAATGAAAACATGAAGATGAAACCACAATATTCTTTGACCTCATTTTATTTAAATGAAAAATACTGTAATCAGTCACTGTCTGCTTTGAGCTGTGGAGAGAAAGAGAGAAATAATATTGATTAATACATTGCATTACAGTCATGCTTACAATGTGCATTAAAATTACTTACTTCTTTCTGTAGTTTCTTAATTTCCAAGTCCAGTTTCCTTAAGGTCTTTCTTTTGTCTGTCAAGCTCCATGTCCTGCCAATGCTCTCTGCTCCCTCAGATGACTTGCTTTTATCTTAAGCAATTTATACTTTTTATAAAAACAAAACATGAATACAATCCTGATATAAGCAGCTATTTAATGAAACTGCAGAAAGCAGCTATTTTCAACAACCCTGCTATGAGCAGCTGTTTAATAAGAACTGCAAAAAGGCAGCTATTTTAACTAAAAACGTGCTAAAAACAAGTGACAAATAATGTGATCAGTCACTGTCTGATTGGAGCTGGGGAGAGAAAGAGAGAAATAACATTGATTAATACATTACGTCATGCTTACAATGTGCATCAAAATCACTTCTTTCTCTAGTTTCTTAATTTCTAAGTCCAATTTCCTTATGGTTTTTCTTTTACTTTGTCAATTTGTCTTACACTGCAAGACAATCCAAAGTTAGACAGTCCACATAACACCAATGGTTGATTAATGAATGAATGAATAAAATGATTGATTCCATGTACAGTATACTGGAATAATGTACTGGAATAATGTGCTGCATCAGTGAATCTGTGATCGATCTCGGGGTCTATTTAAGAAAACTGTGGACGCGCACTCACCTGAATAAGTTACACCTGGCTTGACAAAGCCGCGCCTCCTCAGCCTGGCTTGGTGTTCGAACAACCAATTAAGCCAGGATGGATTTAGGGGAATTTGTCCAGCCTCACTTTTCCACTTATCCTGGATTGGTTAATTCTACTTTCGAACAACAGGCCCCAGGAGTTCAGGGTGGTTGCTCATTGCAATACTCAGTCCTCACATAGATGCCATTTAATGGACCTTTTTCACAGCAGACAATTGGACTTGTCATAATAGGAAAAGCACAGGTAAAACCGATAACACAAATGATGGAGTTCCATTAGGTGTGCCAGTAAGCTATTTCAGTGAGCCAACATGTACAATACCTGGACCTGCCCTACATGGAATGCAGCTATAGTTAATGTAATACACCTGTGCTTTTTCCCCTATGACAAGTCAAAATGTCTGCTCTGTAAAAGGTTTATCCAACACACTGTTCCTGTAGGGTGGTTTGGTCCTGCATTATTATCTGTTTCCACTTGTCCTGTGGAGGAGTTGTGCATTAAATATATGTCATGTTCCCACAGGAATTTGCATGCTTTATCACTTGGTGACCTTATTTGAGCTATATTTTCCCAGTTTTCTTTATGCTAGTGTGCTGGTTACCTATAACGCAAAATTCCGACTTGTTTAAATCAATGTAATTTATATCAGTAACTCTATGTTGTGTCAATGATGTGCTCAAAAAAGCAGAAATAATATAGTTTTCTTGGCACAGGTCCCCTTTGGTGAAATCAAGTCAGTTGTTGACTGGCTGAGGATCACAGGGGACGTTGGCCATCCTGAAGTTGAGCATCCAAAGCGACGGATCACAGGACTTGCCTGCACACAGAGTGAAGTGAGTGGCGCACGTTTCTGGGGCTTCTTCAGGAAGCTGTGTGGTGACCCAGCTCTGTTTTTCCAGCACTGCTTTGTGCACAATCTGTGCCCGCTCATGTTCATGGCTGCCAGTGGGAAGAATTTAACGCCCCCTGAGCTGCCGGCAGGTGAGCGGGAGGCCCTCCTGGCCCTGTGTGACATTGCACTGTGCCAGGCTGTGGAGGCACTGGGAGTCTCCATGGTGATCGGGGTTGGGAAGGTGGCAGAGCAGCGAGCGCGGCGAGCTCTGTCAGCAGCAGATGTCAAGGTACGAGTGGAGGGCATCATGCATCCGTCGCCCAGGAACCCACTAGCCAATAAGGGCTGGGAGGACGTAGCCAGAGCCAAGCTGGCAGAACTTGGTGTCTTGACACTGCTGAACAAAGTGTGAGCTAATCAACCTTCTCTGACATGTGCCTTATCAATAGCAGCATGGAATTGGCTTACTCGGACAATTGATCAGTGGTTCAATGTACTCCTGATGTACAGGCTCATATTTCTCCGCATAGCTCAGCCTGTGTATCTGAGCAGCTCCAAGGAGAGCTTGTAATACACTAATACTGCTACTGTACACGCATCTATCCAACAACTGCATGTTTTCTTCTTCTGTAAAAATCTGTCTGTTCATTTTGAAATGGCTTTTCTTTACTGATCAGTGTTCATACTGAACACATCTCTATGAGAACTATTCATTGTAAAAAAAAATAATAATAATAACACTAACGCTATATAAGGTGCTCTGGGTATATTTTTAATTTTCTTGTCAAAGAGTAAGTTGGGGTGTTGGTGACAATTTACTTGTAGGGTTATTGCATTAATTAAACTTCTGAAGACTTTAGTTTGAGCTGATGAAAATGTTAGCTAATGTGTTAGCTCATGATGATGCATACTGGGACACACAGTGACTGCTAAACATGACAATGAAAAATTGATTTCACCTCTTAGACATTTTAATTTACCTTAAAGGGTATTCCTTCGTACATTATATTAAGACGATTTTTAAACCATGGAGGTACAGTCCTCAGTAAGAAAAAAGTACACACTTTACTGTTCCACGTGACATTACAGAGTTCTGTAATATCCTGATATGACAAAACCGTTTCGCAAATATACAGTTGTAAGTATTGTCCATACTGCACCACTGTACAAGACAATTATGTAGTATTCTTTTTTTTTTTTTTAATTTTGTCATTTATTTTGATAATGTATTTTATTTGTTTATAAACTGATTTTATCTGTGATTTGACCTTATCTAGGATCAGCACTCACTGTTCAAATAAATGAAGAATAATGAAATATGAAATAAATTTCTCCTTCTAGTGCATCAAAGATGAATGCTTTCTGACACCTAAGGCTGATTTTTAGCATGTTCACATAAGATTTAAGGTGGTGGGACGTAATGTTGGACAAGTGGAAATTTGTTGTTCCTGTCGGCAGAGCTAGAAACAGGTGAAGCAAACATTTTGACATGTCAGTGTAAAAAAGCAATATAGTAACTAATGTCTAAATTCAGTTTAGCATGCTGGCTCACTGTCACTGTTATCAGTAACATATTTTTCCCACTATGGCAAGTCAAAATGGTTGCTGTGAAGAAGCTAAGACTAATTAAGCGGAGACCTTCGAAAGTTGCATCCAACAGCAGCTATTGATTGCCCACAACTGCAAGCAAGAACTTAACTCACATTTTCCACCAGGGCCACATGGAGAGCAGAGTTTTCCCTTGCTTTTAGAGAGCCAGAGGGGCTGAAGTGTCATGCAATAAAGTTAGCGAACAGAACATGTGAGAGCAAGTGATTTATTCTTGAAAATCATTTAAAGGAAAACTTTACCAGTCAAAACACGGTGAGCTTGATCTGTGTAAGGGAGTGTATCGTGTCCGCCGCTTGACATCAGACCAACTTATTGCAGTATTAAGCACCCAACAGACCTGCATTCATCTACCTTACAGTTTTAATACAATAATGTAAATATCTACACTAATTTCCAAACTGTCTGCCATAACAATCTTCAGTGTTCTGGGCTTAATTTGGGATTCACTTTTAATTTTGTGAGTAGAACAAATGCACCGAAAACACCACTCAGTGCTGAAACTACACTGCCATCAAGTGGCCACAAGTGGAACCACAATGCTTTTGCAGTCATACTGATTGAGAGTAAGGGTTAAATTAGCAGGACATTAAATGCGTAATCCAAATCACTGGAACATGGAAATGACTGATGAGTTTTACACTGTGGTGTAAGTGTATCTTTGCTTTGATATTTTCAAACTTTGCAGGAAAATGCAGGAAATAACCCAAAACCTAACCCCATAAATAAATGACACATTCAAGAGCTTGTATCGTATCTTGGAAGTCTTTTGTCAGACTGGGAACTCTGCTGTTTTTATGCCTTTCACTGATTCCAGGACAGTTGGATTAGTGACATCGCCTTTAGCACAGTGCCCCCCTTTCCTCACCCCCCCTCCACTGCCACTACTAAGAATTGCAATGAGCAATAACTACCAGCAGCAGATCCTGTATCCTACAACTATAGCCTATAATGGGAGTTGAAGTCCACAGCACAGCTTTGCCTCGTCACGAGCTGTGTACTCATGAACTGCATCTCCCAAGAGTCACCCAGCATCACTAAATTTACTTGTGGGCTCCACATGGTGCAGGAGATGTTGTGAAACTCTTGCACCTGACAGGGTTGCTCATCATTATCTACAGATCCACAGCTCTAACCTTCATGAGGTAGCAGAAAAGGCATCACATTGATTCTCAGCAGAATAAGGTAAGAGAACTCCATAAAGTTCTTTAAATTTAAAATCCAAGCATACAATTATTTAATGTTCTTAGAATAAATAATTAAAGCAGACAGACCTGCATTTAATAAGACTAATAACTAAAGGCAAAATACATCTGTTTACTAGAAAATAAGAACAAAGAAGGGAAGAATGTGTTTTTTATTTTATTTTATACACATTTCAGAGCACTTTTTACTTGATTGACTACTTGTCCACTTAATTACAAATTGAGCTTAGGTTGGTGGTTTTTAAGAATGAGATATAAGACATGAAAAGCAATAGTTTGTATGATCAAAAACAAATTCTATAAAGTGTTTCAATAAGATTTTGATATAATTTACAATGTAAGTTAAAAGGTGTTCATTTTTATGGTTTTAATAATTTTTAAAAAATTGCATACTCATGAAAACAACGCAACAGTGCTCAGAACTACAAACAGTCCTCCCAGTATCTCTATTTTTTTGCAGATTATATGGTATAACGTCTCGGTATATGAGCTTGTTGTTTATAAACATATTGCAGAGCCATAGGCGGCCGGTGTTATGACCATGCTGCATTCCTGAACTGACTCTGCTATCACCTTTCATCAGCTGTTCTCCTCCAGACTGAAACTGGAGCACATTTCACCGGATCCATGTATGTTTTCTTCCTAAACAGCCCAGCTTCCTATTACCATGGATAAACAGTCCACGGTGGAGTTTCGAAATGTGGGGCAACTGTACTTCCCCCAAACCAGAGTGGAGTGCCACTACAGTCTGACCTCTGACCATCAGTGGAGCAGCAGTGACTGGATAGGGATTTTTGAGGTAGATACATTTATTTTAGCACCATTTGTCCACATTGACACAGAACGTTTTTATCAAAATAAGTTGTGTGTCGTGGGGTAGTGATGGTGATGCACATTTTTATGTTTTGTGGTTTTAACTGTGTTTATCATGCCACAGATGGGCTGTTCTTCAGTGACACAGTATTACACATATACATGGGCTCTTGTTCCTGAAGGGTACACTGAGGGTACCAATGTCAACTGCTGTGTACTTTTCCAGGGTAAGAAGTCATCCAAATGTATGAAATAAATATGGCGCCATTGATATTATAATTGATTTTTACAATGTTCTTACTTTTAGAGCTAACTAAATCATTTGCCCGACAGAGCACTCCTGGTTTTACTGCTCTATTGGGTTGAAAGTCCGTTGCACCTCTGATTACACCAGGTATCACTAATGGTTGGGTGTGATCACTTGTATAGGGCCCTTCTAGTCTTCTGACCACTCAAAGCACTTTTACATTAGACACATTTTCCTATTCACACACCTTGATACTGTACAAGAGGCCACCTGCTACCCACTTAAACATTTATACACAATCACAGTTTGGGAATAAGTTTCTTGCCCAAAGATACATCGACATGTAGATTGGACTAGTGCTAGTGAAATCACTCTCCAGTGATTTAACTAGCTTAACCAGTTAAAAAAGAAGACTTTTCAGCTTCGATTGAAGGTATAATATGCAGGAATTCTCTTCCTGTTGGTAAACACACTCCCCTCTAAAAGTGAAAGCAAGTTCCAGATTCACTCTCGTTGGGCATTTACCCTCACCAGATTTGTTATTTCGATGCTGTGCCCATGATTTTCGTAGCTTGCTCTTGGATGCTTGCTGCTGACTCTCTGGCACCTGCTCATTACTTTTTTATAAAGACAAACATAGCAAAATAAGAAGAAAATACAGGTGGAGGGCAGCATCTCTGCAAATAAACGCACCACCATAAGTGATGGTTGAGAGGAATTACTTTTTAATAAGTCCTTGTTTTTAAGGAAAATCCTGCATATTGTAACTCTTGTGTCTTGAAACAAAAATGTTGAATATATCAAGCGCACCACTGTCAATGCTACTGCTAATTTACTGTACATCTAATTTATTTTACATATCTGCTTGATACAGCATTCTACCTGCCCCGCCCCAGTGCTGTGGAGTATCAGTTCGTATATGTGGATAAGATGGGAAAGGTGTGTGCCCGTAGTCGTCCTTTCACTTTCCGTGCTCCCAAGCCGTTGGAGGAGCTGGAGACTCTGAAAGAGGATCAAGATGGGGAGGATGGAGAGGAGGAGCTGCTCCTGGTCATCCCCAGGGCTCAACTGCTTCAGGTGGGAATTAAAATCAGTTTAGTTGAACTACTAACATGACAATTTATCCATTCAATTGTTTAAATATCTCTGTCCTCTCTCCCCATGCTGTGAGCAGAGTCGGCTGGAGGAATGCCTAAAAAAACAGGTGGATATACAGCATGCTCTGGATGTGGCAAAAAAGGAGGTAGTGAATGAGAAAGAGAACAGCAGAAAAGCAAGGATGGAGTGGGAGCGTGAAAGAGAAGCAATGAAGGAGGAGATCTCAGAGCTTAGAGACAACTTAAGAAACAGCTGTGAGATGTTGACGAGGATGGAGGGAAAACACAAGGTACAGACAATTCATGCCAACACACTTCTTGGTGTTGCCATCTCATTTTTACCTCCAAAAAGCTCTGAATTTCATAAATAACTAATGAAAGGTATAACCATGTTTTATTTTCTCCACAACATTGAAAGAATGTGAAATACAGTCAGGAAAATCTGACATCCGAACTTAGTAAACTCATGGCTGAAAAGGCTGAATGTCAGCAGAGAAACAAAGAGCTGGAGGAGGATCTCAAGGCCCTTAAAGAAAGGGAGAAAGAGGAAAACGGGGACCTGGAAAGGCAAGTGTTCGGGACATAATTATGTTAGCTTAAACATGTGTCTTAATAAATGTATTTCCTTGGGCCTGAAACTAACTTTTTGTCCCACAGGCTGAAGGAGAGAGTGAAGAAAATGTCCACTCAAATGAAACACGATGAGGAAAAGAGAAAATGTCTGCAGGTAATCTTCTTCTCTTGTAAAACACAGACGGCTTGATGAGAGGGGGGCGGGGGGCGAGGACAGGCAGCCCTGTAATATAAGAAAGACTCCAACCCACCAATTTACTGGAACCAGGCCAGATTTAAGTGGTTCAGTGTCATCTTGCCAGCAGTGGGATGAAAAACACCATTAGTGTATTAACTCAGGAGTGGAACTTGAGATTTTGCTTTCCTTTACCTTCTTGGATATGTGTTTTTATATACATATATATATATATATATGTGTGTGTGTGTGTGTAGCATATATTGTGATAAATCATTTCTCTCCCTTACTTCAGTTGTTTGCCATTTCTGCCCATCTTACATCTCTGTGCAGGAGGAGAACGAGGCTGCTCTGGCGCAAGCACAAGGGCTGCAGGAGCGTCTGGAGGCTTGTGAGCATGAAGCTGAAGGCCTGCGTAGGGAACTGAGAGAGCTGGGCACCCGTCAGGGCCATACCAACACTGAGCTGCATCAAGCTCGACTACAAGTAGCCCAGCTCACCCTGCAACTGTCTGAGGAGAACCTGGTCCTCAGGGAGGAGCGTGCCAACTGGGCTCTGGAAAGAGAGGCTTGCAAACATGCAGCAGAAGTGAGGATACAGCAAAACCCATACACACCTGTATGTCAACATGAATCTGTTGTTAAACTTGCTTTCTTTTAAAATGCAGACGGATAAAAAGAAAATGCAAGAACTGAGCTGCGAGGTGGAGCGGAGGCAGGAGTGGCTCCAGGAGGAGAGGATGGAGAGGGAGAAACTGGAATTAGAGCTTGGACAAGAGAGAGATTGCAGTCGAGTAAGTAAATCAAAGAACATCCCAGTCACCATTATTCAACACACAAACACATTCAGCTCTAAATATAGCCGCTCATGTGCCACAAATCTGCATCATCAGTTGCTCAGATTACATTTTTGGAAACTGGAGAGCGATGCCAGAGTTCGGCGCAGTTCTTTTATTACTCACATACAGGCACAAATAGAAAAGCTTCCATAATCAGCGAGTAAACATTTCTTCTCACTGTCATGTGAAGAGAGGACAAGCCAGGTCAGAGCTGTGGGTGTTCAGAGCATCTGAGTATCACACTGCTGCCCCCTGTAGGTGCTGCTGAGTGACACTAAGCGAGAGCTACAGGAGCTGAAGGCCAGTTTGAGGAAAGCCCAGACAGAGAGAGAGGAGCAGCAGGTGGAGAAACAGGCAAGGACTCCACACCAGACCACATATCCAGCTTATATTACTTTATCAGATAGATCTAAATAAGATGGGCCTTTTAATGGCCTGGGGTTTTTTGAAGAGAGGATGGCAGAAAAAATATCCGCACATCAACTCAACTGAGCTGGACAGCCACTAAAAAAGATTCACAGGCTGAGATCGATGCCAAAAAATGTCAATTTATTCAAAACAGCTGTGCCAAAAAGAAGAGAGATCAAGGCGCAAAAAATAATGAGAAAAAGTGAGAAAAACAGCAACAAATGTTTCAGTCCTTGACTATCATCAGTGCTAGATGAGATTGAAGATGTTTTTTTGTTTTTTTTAAATACAAACAACAGTTTTGTTCATGCTTTTGTTCCATTCAAGCACCCAGTGCAATTTAATTTAATTTTCATAAGTTTCCATTTTCCAGGCTCATATCAGTGGTGAGAAATTAACTGAGTACATTTACTCAAGTGCTGTACTTGAGGACAATGTTAAGGTATTTGTGCTTAAAGGTCTAGAGTGTAGGATTTAGTGGCCTCTAGTGGTGATATTGCCAAACTGAAACTTCGCTCATGTGCCAAGAGTGTAGGAGAACTACAGTGGCTGTCACAAAAATGCAAATGGCCCTGTATAAAGCCAGGGTTTGGTTTGTCCATCCTGGGCTACTATAGATCAGCATGGCAAACTCTGTAGGAGAGGAAAATAAAATTAACAAATTAATTATAATGTATTATTGTAGGTTGAGATAAGGTTTTAAACCTGCAACATAAAGTGATCTACACATTAATGTGTCAATAATTATAATCCAATAATATAATGTACATTATTCTGAAATGGACCATTCTACATGATGAATACTTTTGCTTGTTAAAATATATTTTGATGTAAATACTTTTGATTTTTATGTTTAACGGAGCATTTCTACGTTTTGTATCATTATTTTACTTTTTTCTTTTTTAAAATTATAGTATGTCTGTCACTGATGTTTACAGTTAACATGTAGCACTGTTAAAACAATGGTGTCAATAATGATATTTTAAATAAAAGTAGGAAACTGTTCCATAAACTCACCAAAAAATGAGAGGATACCACTTTTATAGCTGTTTACGTTGAAAATGTCTATAAACTGCCTTAATCCATTCACGTTCTTATTCCTCATCTTCTTCTTCTTCCCCTTCATCTCTTCCACAAATCTGTGGGTTTGAAATTGGACACTCACAGGACCTGCTGAACTTCATCCGTCAGTTAGAGCAGAGGTTGGGGATTGTGCCAGAAAGTACATCAAATGGGGAAATTCCAACATGCGTCTGTGAGTAATGAAGTCTGTTTATACACAGCTCTACTATTTCACTGCTCTGTAATAAGTACCAAAGTGAAGACTCGTTTCTAATTTTAAACAGTTTCTGGCACTTCCTCTGAGGATGACAAGGAAGCTTCCCCACCTTCACCCAGATCGATCCGCTCACCTCTTTTCTTGTCTGCTCACCTGGAACGGCCCAACAGAGCTGAGACCATTGCTGCTGAGACACACAGCCAAAGCAAAGAAGACACACCAACCTCTGACACACAGGTGTGCCATCCTATTCACACATAAACTAAACAAAGTTTAACACCACCTGCATCAGAGCTAACAGACCTGAGTAGGTCAATATTTGACTAGTTTCCCTCGTCCTGGGAGTATTTGCTCCAGGACAATTGTTGAACACTAAGGTTTAATGTTGACTGGTACAAGTCATGACAATGTATTTATTCTTACTGGGTCAGGATTAAAAGAGGAAACATGGAACAAAGACTTGCAATCTGGAACACCAAAGTTGATAGACAGTTTAAAGGTGGTCAAACAAAAAAAATTTCAGCATACGGATAACTTCTTAAAGGAATATTTCATCCTCCAAATGACGATCTGTGTATTAATTGTTCACCCGGTGTTACATTTAATTCAAAAACCTTTGTTCTTCTCACATGCCTCCGCTAAACAAAAAATCCAAAAACTGTTGATGAATTGAAATCATAAGGTATTTTCGAACTTTTTCATGGCTCTAACAGCCTCGTTATAAGAACCCCCTTTTTTTGTTGTTTCCACAACACAAAAACTAGGAATGATCATGGTTCATAGAATGCCGTTTTAAGGTAAAGTTTAGCTCCTATTTCAGAGTAGGTACTCTCCATAAATTGTAAAAATAATGGAAATAGCTACTATAACGTCACCCATTGTTTTGTGGACTCCTGTTTTGAAGCCTAGAGTTCTGCATTTTGGCCATCGCCATCTTGGATTTTTGGAGCCAGAAGTGACCATGCTTAGGTGAGAGGGTGGAGCTGTGGAGGAGTGAGGGGTGGATCTGACTGAGAAGCCGAGGACACTATCCGCAGACAGCCACAGTCACTTAAAGTGGCCCGACAAGAATATTTTGACTGTTGTTTGTTTTACAATATCCAGGACCAGCGTACTGAAGGTCAAAGATTAGGGTTATATATTATAGATTAGGGTTACAGACTAGTTAATGTTGCTGCCTTGGAACCAACAGTCTTGTTGCATAATGGAAAAAAAGTACATGTTAATGCTTTCACTCAAATGACATCAGTTATATTTGAAGATATACATCTAAGAAATATATTAAGATATTTAAATGCTAATGAAAATAAATGAGACATTACATTAAAAAAACAAACACTGATCCACGTTACTGGTTCTCACTCAAATGTTTTGGGTGTGTATATTATTGAACGACAGATAAATCTGCAGTTGACATCCATCTGTGCTTCTGTGTGTTCACTCAGGATGTGTGGAGGCAGCACTGTGAGCCCCGAGCCTGTGAAGGGAAGCAACTGATCCTACCAGAACTCACCGACCCTATCCTGAGGTGACATTTTTGGCTTTCGACCAGCCACACAATACACACCCTTTTTCCCTCCTCCATGACCGGAATCACCTTGCCTAAAATATTATGTGGTGACTTCATTCGCACTCTCCTCCCTGGCAGACTGGTTGCTGTTTTAGAAATGCTGTTGTTCCACTTATCATGCACTTTCTTTTCTTGTAGGAAGAGTCACAGGGCGCATCAGAGAGTAAAAATAAAGATGTAAATAATATGATAATAACAGCACTAAAAATAGCAGCAGTGATTAAATAAGTTCATGTTACGCAAGCAGTAGATCAGCAGCAGTAGAGACATGGGATTTCTTTTTTTTTTACTGACTGTTGTCATTCTTTTTCCTCTCTGCAGTGACTGGGCTGACTGCCCCATGTGGTAACACAAAGAAACGTGGATGGCAAGTCGCTTGTTTACCACTGTGGTGCAACTTCATGCGGATCATTAGAAAACCTTCGGGATTATTCTGTTGTTGTTTTCTAGTTGATCACGTAGGAAATGGTCTTTACAAAGGTCATATTTATGGTGCAGAGCTTTTAGTGTGCGAGTGTCCATATTTAAGGAAAACACTGCACAATTTGTGAGTCTTAAGTGTCCAGACTTTGGTTTATTAGTGTGGCTAATGGTTTTATTACTACTAAAGGATAAACAAAACTCTTCTTTAGACTTTCATGAGCAGGTATTAATTGTCTTAAAAATATTTCAGTTTAATTTAGGCTCCATTTACAATCCATAGATTTTCTAACTTTTGATTAAAAGGGAAAGTGTTGTTGGTGCCATGATGAATGCAATACATCTTGTTTCAGTAGAATATCAGCCCATAACCTCTGCATGTGAGTGTGAATCCTGAAACCGTGTCAAAAGTGTGGGTGTGTGTTACAGACAAGTTTGAAATGTTCTGTTGCAGCTTGTCGAGCACAGCATCATGTTGGACGAACATGAAAGTTAATTTATGACATTTCTGTTTGTTGATCCGAGCTTCTGTCAGAGAGACGCTGCTCTTTAATAAACTATGATGATAAATACATGTTGATGGCAGTTTGTGTTTTGTAAGTTTCCATCCCGAGACTTTCTGTGTATAAAGTGATGGCAAAGAAAAGGACAACTGGATGCTGAAACGTCTGAGAACAAAAAGCGCCTTTATCAAAATACAAGAAAGACAACAAGTAACAAATGAGCAAACAACAAGCAACAAATAAGCAAATATCAAAATGTAAAAACAAGAGTCAGTCCAGTCTTTGTTCTTCCTTGTGTGTGTGTGTGTGTGTGTGTGTGTGTGTGTGTGTGTGTGTGTGTGTATCAGAGCTATTTCTGTAAAAGTCCAATTGAAATAAAAAGCATGAGGTGTCTGAATCCCTGAACATGAAGACAAGTTATTTGCACACTATAAAGATTGTGTTTATAAAAAGTAAGACATCAGTTAAAAAAACAACAACAAAATGTAACAGAGATGGTTCCAGCGTCAAAGTCATTAAAATCATGAAATTTCATCTACCACACATTACTAAGTGAATATATTTCATGTCAATGACCTCAATAGAACTTTTATTAATGAACATTATTTTTCTTTTGCTTTTGTCCACATTATGTAATATCTTTGGTCTTTTTGGATTTTTCAAACTCACATGCATACATACAGAGCTGAGGCCTTTGTGACCTCGTCCACGGCTTACTTATTGCACCAGCTCAAATTCAAGAAAAGAAACAAGTCTACGAGATAAAGAAGAAGGAAAAAAAAACAGGAAAACATTTTATTATGAAATATCGTGGTTATGTGATGCAGAAACATATTTAAGTACTAAACTACATAGTATGCAGAGTTGGCTGACGATGTGCAAAATATTGACTGTGTGCGTCTCTGTGTGAGTGTGTGTGTGCGTGTTTGTGTGTGTGACAGATGAAAAACACTGAAGATAACTTTTGATTGTGATGTCACCGCCCTATATCACAACTGACATTCTAAAAAGAAAATACTGTGGCGTCTGTGTTGATTATTTAACACTTAAATCAACCCCTGTGTAGTTCATGGCTTTACATATGGTACCAAGGACATGTCTAACTTATATATATATATATATATATATATATATATATATAGATATATATATGGTCACTGCTTCAAAGCTACTGGTGTAGTTGCCACTATCATCATGTGGGATCAGTTTTCCTCTTGTATTCTCTACATCTTCTCTTTCTCTGCTTCATTCAGGGAGTGAATGTCTCCATATATTATCAGAAACATGCAGTCCTTTTTTCGGATATTACACACTACCTCCAACTTTTTATCCCTCATTTAAAAAAAGAAAACTAAATTTAAAAAGTTGCAGCTTTACTGCAATGTCTCATGCCATGAAAGACAACATGCTGATGGAGAATCTTTTCCCTTAAGGAATTCAGTGAGCCTCACACTGTCTTTCATTAAACAGATACTGACAAAAAAGCTGTACAGTCTCAAGTAAAAACAAGTTATAAGTATTTATTTTACAAAATCCATGTATTGCATCACTCATTAGATACAGCACACATGAACACACATCATCTGACACTATCGCCCTGTACTGCAGCAGACAGGTCACCCAATGTAAAGCTTTTGTTTTGTAGTTAATTATGTTGGACGGTTGCAACACTCATGTGATTCTTGGTCAGCTTGCATCGGCAATGTCGCACTGTCCAACAGGGGTCTTTGGGTGAGTGAATTATTTTAAAAACATTTAGTTCTTTGCTACAAAATCTATTTTATGTGCATTTTTATGATACTGATAATTGGACTTCTGGATAAATGTTCACTGTGGATTGTGGCAGTGATGACAGCAACATCATGTCTCTACAACATCACTGTGTACTGGTAAATGCTCTTGGTTACACACTCAAGCACACATGCACACACACACCTGAGGTTTTCTGTGAAGTAAACTGCTTTTATATGGTAACGTCTGTTGGGATGATTCTTCCTCACTCTTGGAAAAATTAAAATATTATGGCTTATATGTACCTGGCCGCTGTAATAAAAGCGTGGTCAACAACTTCAATTTTTAATAATCCCTACTGCCTGGTGTGAGAGGATTCTCTTGTTGAAGAAGGGGGCATTATGTCGGAGCATGCACACCAGCAGATTCTTAAAATACTGTTTTGACAGGTGAGATGTGGCCCTGATAGAATCAACCTGAGATTATGTGATGATGACATTAAATCTACCCTGCAGATTCTTTAGTCGAAGTATTTTTTAAAAATGATTGTGTGTATTTTTGTTGTGAGGTGGAGATATGCTTCTGTTTGTTTTGCATTATTTGTTAGTGTCTTATTTGCATCACAAGCACCAGACCTGAAATCACAGTCTTCCTCTTATCCTTTTTCAGATGTTTCACCCATCAGAGATTTTCATACCACATGCTTGTTGCATTGTGAGTTTGAGTCCCGCTCTTGACCTGCTCTCTCTTTGCTATTGCTCTCTTTACTGTCTTTGCTATTGCTTTTTACTGTGTCCATGAAGCAGAAATGCATAAAATTAAAGAGTAGCTTAAAAAAATCACATGTCCAGTCAAATGTGAGCAGGACTGAGTGAAAAAATATACAAAAAAAGCAACACAGAGTCCCACAAACAGGCATAAAGACAGAACAGAAATGTGTACATGCTTAGAAAAACCATACAATAAAAAAATAAGTCGCATATCTCTGAATAGTAATAAAAGGAATTCTGAGAAGACATTTGTGGCAAATGGACACCACATAGAGTTCTGTTGTTGCAATGTATTTTTACCATCAATTTTATACAAAGCATAGCCCTTATAGATAGCGGAAGAGTGCATTTTGTTCTGTCCACCACCTCTCGTTCCTCTTACGGTGGACAAAAACGCTTTTGAAATATCTTTTAGACAGTCTCATTTTGGCACAGTGATTTTTCATGGCGCTCTCCACGACCCACTGACATTTAGTGCTTTTGCTTCTCCCCTTTACTTCCTATGCTGTATTGAACACATTTTCCTTTCAGTCAACATGTACAGTATATGTAAATATGTGCTGTATTCAACACTTGTGTTGTATAAGAGCCTAATTCTGTGAGGTTCCTGCGAGGAGATATTGCTGGGCGAGGGCTCAGTGATCTGGAAGAGGAAGTAGCAGCATCATGTCTCTCTCACTGCGCTTTCCCAGTCACACCTTTCTTTTGCACGCCCGCTGCCGCCTCCCCCCATGGCTCCCCATCACTGTCCGCCCCTCGCTCTTTCTCCTCATCCCAGTAGTCGTCCTCTTCCTCCTCCTCTTCCTCCTCAACGGCTGACTCATCCGCGGGCTTCTCCTCTTGTTTGATGGCTTGAATGGCAGGGGGAGCAGCTGTGGCACTGTCTCCTGAGTCACTGCTGTCTTCGAAGGCCTCGGGGTTCTCCAGCATCTCCCTGATCAGTGGAGGCATGGGGCCTGGGATCTCCGTCTTCAGTGTGATGGCTCTCTCCGCACCTACGGGCACATACACATTTGTTAAATGGATAGTGTATAAGAGGGACCAGAGGAGGCCTTTCACACGTTTCACTTTTGAAAGGAATCACTAATTGAGAGGTTTCTCCACATTTGAGAAAAACAATGCCTCCTAGTGCTCTTACACGCAGAAGATGGTATATTCTCTCTGACAGAACTTTTTCGCATGATACAATTATATCAAATAATCTTAAATTCTCACCAGTCTACTTTTTAAAAAATATTTTATGTTTTATTTTGTAATGTCACTCTCGATGTGCTTTATTATTTTCTACAACAAATTTCCTGTGACACTTGTGCCAATTCGGTACCTGAATACTTAGAGGATACCGACACTAAAACAATGTTTAACGTTGTCTTGACACAAGTAGACAACCAGATCTTTGTCTTTTTTTAAATTTTTTTTATCTGATCCATGAAAATGTTAACAAAAATACAAATATGAACATTCGTTGTCAACTTTAGTACTTCACAGTTGTTGATCTTCAGTACTGCGGACACAATTTAGTTGGTAACAGAAACGAATAGGGTTTGTCACCCGGCTTTATTCCTAATCTGTAGTAATTGTATGTAAAACCTCAGCTGACCTTTGGTGCTAATTCCTCGGAGGTCTGTGACTTTCATCAGCATGCGGGGAAACATGTGAGGCTTGTTTGGGCGTCTGCGGCGGGTGTAGATCTTCAGAGCCTCTAGCAGCGGCTCCTGCAACTTGTCTACCTTCTGTGGCTCCTCCAGATCCATGCGATCTGAAACAATGACAGAAAGAGACACGTTTGAAGAGGAGAAAAAGAAAACGATAGCGAGGTAATGGCAAAACAATGGAACCAAGTAATGGTAGCACACTGTCAGGGACACCCTTACCTCCGCAGATTAGGCAGATGGCACTGAGTAGGCCCGTCTCTGTGTCGTCCATCTCCAAAGGCAGCAGTTGACCAGCAAAGGCAAACACCAGGTCTGTGAGAGGGCCAAAGCCAGCGTTATGCATCTGGGTCCTGTTCAGAGTCAAGCCATCTGAAAAGGTCATTGTGTCTTGTTCTGGGGTGTAGCGAGTGCATATCCTCAGCATCTAAGAAGGACAGGAAGGTCACAAAGTGAAAGAAAAAAGTGGGCAGTTAGTAAAATGAGGATGAAATTCAGTCCCAAAAAAAATCATGAAGGGCTGTTCAGAATCATCATCTTTTATATTGACAAGTTAAGCAGCGTGACAAATGAGAAAGCGTTAGAGAGGTGGAAAAGGTGGAGGGAGAGTTGGTTAAAAAGGAGGAGAAATAGGAGCATGTGGTTGGTACCAGGATGTCCAGACATGCAGATTTGAGGAGGGTGATCTGGTCAGCGATGGTGAGCGTAGTGAAGCCTGGTAGCCGCTTGGCAAACTCCACAATCTTTATAATGCACTTAGTGGACAGCTCACTGAACTTATCCCACAGGCCCAAGTCCAGCTGTACTCTGTGGTCAGCACTTGAATTCTGGGAGAGAGAAAGAGGGACACTTTTGTCTGTGCGGCTGTGCAGAGTCCATACAGTGTTTATCCTTCTGGCAAAGCAGTGAGCCAATGCT